ATAGTGGGTCTATAACATGTTTCCGTACATTAAAGTTAAAACTTAAAATGCGGTCGAATCATTTATTAGCCTCATTTTGGCCTCCTACAAGAAGACTCTGCGATTTCTGAAATGTTGAGCTTGAAGAGGATGAATAAATTTTTATTGTTGACACATTAGATAGTCACAATACCGAACATGCTCGAAAATATACACAAAAGTATACTTGTTAGCCTCATTTCACCCTCTCACAAGGTGGTTAGCCTCATTTTCACCTCGAAAATTTGAAGCTATAATCCGACGGAATTTCATGTGCAACATAGATATCAAGTAACTTGTGAGTTGTTAACCTGTTTCCGTACATTAAAGTTAAAATGCGGTCGAATTTTTTATTAGCCTCATTTTGGCCTCCTACAAGTAGACTCGGCGATTTCTGAAATGTTGAGTTTGAAGAGGATGAATCAATCTTTATTGTTGACGTATTAGATAGTCACAATACCGAACCAACTCGACAATATACACAAAAGTATACTTGTTAGCCTCATTTCACCCTCTCAAAAGGTGGTTAGCCTCATTTTCACCTCGAATATTTGAAGTTTAAATACCGATTAAATATAATTTTTTAGTTTTAAAATTTAATATTTCGAATGGCATAGAATGGAGACAAATGGCATAAAATTCATCAAATGGCATAGAAATTTCATGGCATAAATGGAAATTTTGTTTGGCCAATTCTCCATTATGCCATTTATGCCATTGGTACCCCCCCGCCAGAGTTTTAAAATAATCCAAGTCTTGACATTACAATGTGTTGATAATACAATGTGTTTCATTCATTTAGAATGCCCATTTTTTCCTTTTCACCCTTTTGAAAAAAGGCAATAGTGAAAGGTTACGAATGGAGGTTTTTGCAGAAAAACGTGGATTTTGGAGAACGAGATAGGTGGGTCTGAATATGATGTCATTCCGTCCGTTACCATGCGACGAAAAATTTGCGCGCGCGCGAGGATTGCTTGCGGAGATGTGATGTATAGATAGCCTGTGATCTATGAATGCGCGGCGCGACTGTGTTTTAATGTATATGATGCATGTAATGTATAATATAACTATTAGGTAATACGCCCAATTTGTACGTGGCACGCGTAGTGTATTGATGTGTACACGAGTATAGTTTACCTTTGCTGATAATTTCTTGAATTACAGATACAAGTTAAGTTCTACGGCAATTGAACTGAATTTCAAGTGTTTCCCGTATTTGATGCATAATTTATCAATATTATTATCATGAAGATTGAAGTGAGCTGATTGGAGCTTATACTTAAATTTATAGTAAATGTGAAATGGAAATCTAGCGTCCGCCAAAACGAAACAACGGGCGCAATTCTTGTTTAAGTGGGGACTCTAATGGAACAACTATGGAGGACATGTGATCAGTTAATGTGATCCAAAGGCCCGAAATCTAGAGACCAGGTTTTGATCTAATTAACCAATTAACTAATTAACTCCCTATACTTCAAACCTCTAGCTCGTTCATGAGCTTGATGAGGATGATGAGATCCATCATGTTGAAACCCGTTTAAAACCTAAACCTGAGTAGCTGATAACCTATCGATAGGGTGCACGACAATAATCTGCTTTAAATTGCACATAAACATTATTACTCCCTATTACTGCCTTCGAAACTTTTACCCTACACACATTTTCATTGCTGGCTAGCAGTGTCAAATCGTGCTGGTTACTAACAAAAATAAATCGGCGGCGTCATCTTCGGGACACCATGTATTATGCCGATGAGCGACGAAATTCGCAGATCAACAGAAGAACATTAGTACAACACTACTAATCTATTACATTTATCGAGGGCGATACAGAAGGAATATATGTAATGTAGTCCAAGGAGTCCTAATAATCTTCCCGTCAAAAAGTGGCGTTTCTCTTGTATATAATATCTAATTTATCAATTACTAGCAACGACGAGAAATATTTCCTGTAGAAACATATTCCCCGTACATGATAAATCAATGATTTCTGTTTTAAAAACGCTAATCAGCAACCACTCGACTGCACAATTGATAATGATCATAGACTTGGATGGTTTATTCTTTGAATCAAGTTCGTTTAGTAAACGTAGGGTTTAATTTTGGGACAATTGAACCACTGGTACATGTTTTAAATGTTGAATCGTTTGAATCACGAATCTCAAGAAAATCTGACCAACTTACTAAAAAGGAATGTGAAACTAGGCCGGAAATATTTTCAATACTAATCGAATGTTCTCGTCTAAATACAAAGTTGATATCTGATCAGCTTCAAATTTCAGTTAACATGGAAATGAAATTATACATTAGAATTCAGTACTATTGCAGTATTAACAGGTGCGTGTGATTGTTATATTTTCATGAAGTTTCAGTTCTCAGTATGAACATGTGTGCTGACACATTTTAACATTTCATCGTATGCACTAACGATATGTGTAGTAAATATTTCGATTTAAATTTGACTGGCACATCGCGGCCAGTCTCAAACCGGTCTAGACTCTTCTAGTTGGAACGAATGAGATGCACTGAACAGTGGAATTTTAAAATGGAAACCTAAAATGAGCACTTTATTCATTGAGTAGGAGTTAAAGTTTTATGATTTGAAAAGAAAGGTAATAACGGGCGAGACAGTGGTATTTGGTTCAGAATTTGATGAAGCAGTGTTGATTCTTGGATAGAATATTTAGTAACATGTCCGATTAAACTTGCGTTACTTTTAATTAAACAAATCTTTGTTCACTGCATGTTAAGCCCGTTAAGCGAATTGCTATAATATAAAAGTTGGTTCCTCTTGCTGTTCTCCGCATAAACTTGCTACGGTTGTATTCAAAATTGACGATTAAGCAATAATAACTTACAGTTACAAATAGTAATAGTGTTTTAATTGAAATAAGAATTATAGAATGTTACCTGCTGCTGATAGGGCTGGTTCTGATAAGTAGTATCTGAAATTTGAGTGAGTTAATTAAAAATTAATTAGTTAATTAGTTAATTAACAGTTAAAACAGTTACATTATTTGGTTCTCATTATGATTACGGTTGTAGTCAGAGTTTAAGCAAGAAGAAATTCAATTTGTTTCACTTCTTGTGTTCGTAGAAAGTAAAAAATTAGTAAAACGGAATATCGATTTCCAATCTCTTTAGAGAAAATAGGAAGATCACAATTGAACGCCAGGTAAAATAGGCGGCCTTCAAAAAGCATGGAGTAACACAAAAAGGAGAAGTTTATTCTTGAGACTGAGAGTTTTTAGGAAAAACTCGGGTGAAGGATAATATTTTAAATTTTCAAAATTATTGTCTTGAAATGATGTCGTCCATTGCTCATACTACATGGACAATCACGGAAGGCAACTCAAAAGCAATAATTCACATATAAAGTCTAAAAAGTAAATTGTGAAAAGAAAAACTAACCGGATCGCCTGTTGTATCTGTGGTTATTCGCTGCCATAATTGTGTTCCAATTTCAAACTACCGGACCAAACCGGTGGCAACAGTAAACGACGGTTAACAGTTACTGATGAAACATTGTGAAACATTAACAAACAAGGTTAAATGAACTATAAATATTGGTATAAAACTAGCAAATGGGTGTTACCATAAGACTTAGTTTAACGATGTTATCGTAACTGATGTTTCAGTAGCGCATTCTGGTGGTGAAAGCGAATTCGCAAAGTTATCTTTTGTACGATAAAATATTTGCGCGGCGCCTTTCAACTCACTGATGCGATGTTTGTCGACTACAGCGGTGTCTCAATTTCATGAACTAGTACACACTAACGAAAACAATCACATTTTATAATAACTATAAACAATTATTTATAAATGATTAATATCAAATTTAAACTATTGTACTATCATGCAAAAGCTTTTTTGGTTTTACTCTTTTCAATGACAAATGATGTTTTAAATGTTTGAGCGCGCGCAACCAAAAAATAGCTCATAGTATTTATTATAAAAAACAAAAACCAAAAATTAATCACAAAACAAAATTAACAAATAAAAGCTGGCTGCTAACTCTTTCACAATCACAAAAATAAGTTTTATTTGCAACGTCTTAAATTCTGCTATAAAGCTGATTTTAATTATTATCTTTTCAGCTCAAATTTTGACTTATTATTGCACATTATTACATTGTTTGAACATTGAATTTGTTTAATTTTTCTGGCGCGCTGTATTATAATTAATCATACAGTGAAATAATCACTCAGCAAAACGACTATATTATTCATCTTTGTTAATAATTTGTAAAGCTAATTTAAGCATGTAACATATGTTGTTTTATTTATTGTATATATATAGTATGTTGTCTTTTCTCATTTCTATCACGTCATTACACATTATAATTTTTATTTGGGATTGCCGTACGTCAAACTATTAAAATTAGTTATATATCAGAAGTTTTTTACCATAGAAAAATGAGAATGAAAGTTTGGGAGATGAAAGTGTATTGCATAAATGAAACAACCTTGAACTTTTATATCATATTTTATCTGTGGAAGAAATAAGATCACGCCGCGCATATCCATACTCTATCCTTCCAGTTCGAATCGAGCGCTATTTATCAAATTTTCGTTCTGGTATTGTTGGATTAACACTATTCCATGTAAACGTTTGGACGAATATTAACTTTACGTGATTGCTGTTTAACCTGCTGACTGTCATGTCTGAAACGCATTTTTTCAATTTTGTCGACTTTCCAATATTCATTCCACTATATCCTTAGATCAATATTTTATGACTTATAATTAGGGTTTAGATTCCGTTCATGGCGGTTTGTGTGAGATAGTAAACATGCAGTTTAATCTCGTCAAATAGACATGTTTAATCACTGATAATGTCATCGGTTATGTAATATTGATTTTGCTTTTTGACTGTCTAGACTTTTCAAGGCTTTGAGTTCAGACCCTCTAGAACGATCCTGTTGTGTTTGTGCGGATACGAATTTGTCAGGGGTATCTCATTTACAGTTTGTTATCATCACATTCAAACTGTATGATCTTTACCTTACTTTGAGTGGACGTTTTTTATATTTGGTACAACACTGTCAAAAGCTGCGTCACTTTCGAAGGATGCCAAACTGCAGGCATGAAATTCAATCACCAGTCAAATTACAAGATTTTATTCGTAACCCCTGCCGTCACTCTCAGCTATCACATCATGTCCGACGATGACAATTATGTCCCTTACGTCTCTGTCAAGGAACGAAAACTTCAGAAACTTCTTGAACATGCTAAAAAGCGTAGAAAAGTCGCAGAGGACGACACGAAGGTAGAGGAACAGCCCACTAAAGCAAGCTTGTTGGATCAACATGCCAAGTTGATCAAGGCAGCACCCAAAGTTCCAGAGCATGTCAAGAAAAAGATGGAAGAAGAGTTGATCCTTGAATCTGTAAGTGAAAACAAAGCTTTGATGGGGGTTCATGAACTAGCTCAAGGTGTTACATACACTGAATCCATCAAGACCGGTTGGAAGCCCCCAAAGTATGTGAAACTTCACAAATCTGATAAAGTCAGAAGTAAATCTTCAATAAATGTCACTGGAGTTGAGGTTCCGCCTCCGTTGAAGTATTTCCGAGACATGAAATTTCCCATACCTGTGGTTGCTGCTTTAATGGCTAAAGAAATCACTAGACCCTCCCCCATTCAGATGCAAGTCATTCCAGCAGCTTTGTCAGGCAGAGACGTTATTGGAATTGCAAGTACTGGTTCAGGAAAATCATTATCATTCATCCTTCCATTGATAATGTTCAGTTTAGAACAAGAAAAACGGTTACCATTTGCAGAAAATGAGGGACCGTACGGTCTCGTTCTAGTCCCCTCTCGAGAACTGGCTCAGCAGCTCTATGAAAACGTTAACTACTACACAGACGTGCTTAGCAGCAACAAATTCCCTAAACTTCGCACAGCACTGTGCATCGGTGGAACAGACATGCGTGAACAAGTTCGTCAAATTAGCGGGGGTGTTCACATTATAGTAGCTACACCAGGTAGACTAATCGACATGTTAGGTAAACAAATCATTAACTTTCAAGTTTGTAGATATCTGGTGTTGGATGAGGCTGATAGAATGGTTGATATGGGTTTTGAAGAGGATGTACGTCAGGTTTTCTCCTATTTTAAAGGACAACGCCAAACATTGTTGTTCAGTGCTACTATGCCCCTGAAGATCAGAACTTTGCTAAAAGTGCTTTGGTAAATCCTATCACGGTGAATATTGGTCGTGCAGGAGCAGCAAGTGCAAATATTACCCAAACTGTGGTGTATGCTCATTTTGAGGAACGTTTGTCCTATTTACTGGATGCTATTCAGAAAACTGGACCTCCAGTTCTTATATTTTCTGAAAAGAAATCAGAAGTTGACGAAATTCACGAGTTCTTGTTACTCAAAGGACTCGATGCTGTTGCAATTCATGGCGGCAAAGATCAGGACGACAGACGGTGGAGTTTGCGCCAATTCAAGGACAAAAAACAAGATATATTGATCGCAACAGACATTGCCTCTAAAGGACTCGATTTAGAAAACATACAACATGTCATTAACTTCGACATGCCCGACGACATTGAAAACTATGTGCATCGCATAGGAAGGACAGGTCGTGGAAACTCTAAAGGTCTCTCTACTACCTTCATAAACCGAACCTGCTCCATAACTACCCTCCTCGACCTTAAACACCTGCTCATCGAAGCTAAACAGGAAGTTGCTGACGTCCTGTTGCAGTTAGATGATGACGTCACTGTTGCAGCTGAAGGTTGTGAGTTCTGTGGAGGTCTTGGTCATAGAATTTCGGACTGTCCTAAGTTGGAGGCCAATAGGAGAAAACAGGATGCCAACATGGGGAAGAAGGATTATGTAGCTCAGGGTGGTGCTGATTATTAAATAATTACTGGATTAATTAACTAATTAAATCTAACTAATTAGACATTATCAAGGTTTTTTAAATAGATCTTTGACAGTATCAACCATTTTATTGATACAATTTTTATCAGAATAACATTTTGTAGTTTTACTCAGATTCCATTTCAATGCCCTTGCAACAATCTGTGTTTCACTGCTTTCGATTTCCTGTTCAACATTCCAAATACATTCCAACACCCCCAACTAACCTACACACATCTCATTAGCATTGCCGGACACAGTAATGGCGGTGTTTGTAGACGGTCAGCACAGAACAGATTATGGCAGGATAGTTCTAACAACTGGAAACGTTCTACACTCGGCTCCCAGCGTCGTTAACACCCCATCTCGTGCTGACGGCATCAGTTATGAGGTGAGTTTAGTAATTGATAAAATACTGCAAAACTGAAAACATTAACTCTGGCCACATTATTTGATATTTCCTAGTCCATTTAAAAGGGACGGACACCCTTTTTGGCACGACTATCGCATCGGCTTGAATCGCATCGGCTTGAATGCAGAGTTGAATGCATTATTCTCCGACATTCAAATTTAAAGTGTTATGTAGTCATCACTACAAAATCTAACCATCATCTATGCGGTGTCTCTTTAAACTTGACAAATTTGTAACATTAGTGCTAAAATTATATCCGGTTAAGATGATATCCGCAAACTTTTTATTACGGATGAGCTTACATGTAAGACGTAAGTGTGCTCAATGCTCATCGACTACAACATACCGGAAAAATAGTGTGAGCTTGCTTAACCACTGTCTTTAAGACAAATTTGTACGTAATAAAGTACGTAATTCCCGGCGTTTTATCGAAGAATGTCGAGTTAAATGTAGCGTTTATTTGTTATAATTTCTCACCAACTTATCTTGGTTCAACTTCAGGACGAGCGCGATATCAAGATTGTTGGCTGCGAGTTAATACAGTCTAGCGGTTTACTCTTACAGCTGCCTCAGGTTGCCATGGCAACTGCTCAAATACTGTTCCACCGTTTCTACCTTGTCAAGTCCCTCGTCATTCACAACTACGAGGTTTGTCCGAATTATTTGTTATTTACAGATTATATTGAACAGTGAACACTTTTATAATCATATCAGTGTGCATGATGATTTTATTTAGATAAAATCATATGTTATTTACAGGATATATGCCCATCTTACGTTATACACAGTTTAATAACCTATTCATGTCTAATGATTGTAGAAATAACATAATAACATAATTTCAGCACCAAGCAATGGCAGCAATATTTCTTGCAGCTAAGATAGAAGAGCATCCCCGGCGCATCAGAGATGTAATCAACTGCTTCCATCACATAAAGCAAGTCAAGGAAAAGAAGTAAGTTTTATAAACTACGTTTTATAAATCATTCTGTCACGAATTATGCTGTGACCTTTTTTATTCCAACCATGTCGTAACCGAGAGCTTTTAGCAGTAAGCATGTCTTACACAGTCCATACCAACAACAGCAACATATTTAGGATTTGCGATATTTTGGATCATAACTTTTATCTTTCTCTCAGAAAATATCTTTGATGAATGTAGATGCACTGCAGCAATATCAGTGTAGATGTAGTAGATGCACTGCAGCAAGTTGGTGCTCTATAGAGGCACAGTGTTTGCTGTGTGTAGGATGTAAGTTAGGATTGAAACACCAAATATTTGAAGGTAAGCTAATCCTCCTTTAATCGAGGAACCAGGACTAACTTTACTTTTGTTCAGAACTCCATCACCCCTGGATTTCACCGGTACATTGTACGTCAAACAGAAGAATGATGTCATTAAAGCTGAGCGGCGCCTTTTGAAAGTAAGTTATCCATCCGTTTTACATTTTTATTAGAATCCTGAGGCTATGGGAGATGCCCTATTCTGTTTTCTTTCTGAAATTTCAATTTGGAATCTTTTAGCCTCAGGATTTATGACTATAATTAAGGGAATTTAAACTCTTTAAAAAAAACTGATAGGCTGTGCTAGTTTATCTCTGCGATACTGTGCATTTTATATAGTCTAACCTAGTACAGCCTATCAATTTATGACGATTATAGCGATTTAGAGTCAATCAGCTTCCTCTAAACAGTAATTATTTTGTTGAATTTATTAGAGAATAATTGATTTCCATTTCTAGAGGTGAATTGCCGCCTCCAGAAAGGTACGATCACTATATACTTTATTTGTGTGGTTTAGTGTGGTTTTAAAGAGGCTGGCAGCAGCTTTAGCTCCTAACAACGGTGAGTTCAATCATTTCTTCATTTTTCCTTTGGGTTACGTTTCCTTTTCATCTTGGCGAGAATAAGTCGTACTCGATGAGATTCGAAAAAACTTGAACGATTTGGATGATCTTGATAGGGAGTAACCTCTTGATAATATCATCGTGAAATCATTCCTAAACCACCCGAATGCAAAATGAGATTAAAATTACTTTAGTGAAAGAGGCCAAATAAAACACACCTTGATCAAGAATGTCACGAGTCTCATTCAAGCCATGCTTATTACCAACATTACAGATGCAGGAGCAATGACGCACACGCGTGGGAGACAATTCTACAAGATCACCCAACGACTAGCAAAATACCAACTTAACTTTTTACGAAGCGCATAGTTGTTATCTTTCTGTACGTGCGCGGCGCAAATAAACAAACTTACGATCGTAATTTCATACACATGACTTCTTTGTTTCTCATTACACATTTTAACGATACAGTTCAGATTCTATGGATATCACTTCATAGGGAAGGAGGGTAACTCTGGTCGCCGAACGCTGTGCTGTCAGCTCTGTAAAACCACACTAGACCACATGCCTTTTAACTTTCACCTCCAAAATCCTGGAGACCCTTCTATTTTTCAGGAGCTCGGTTTCTGCGTCCACGTGAAATACCCTCACAAAATCATCATTATAATCCTGTCTCTGATGTTGGAGCAAAGTCAGAACACGGAGCTCGTACAGCTGAGTTGGAACTTCATGAACGATAGCTTGCGGAGTGATGTGTTTATGAGGTATACTCCTGATCAGATCGGCTGTGCCTCTATCTGGCTGTCAGCTCGTATCAAGAAGGTACTTTTCACTCTCCCTTCAATTTTGAATTAAACATTTGTCTGGACGTAGTGTTCAGCCTGTCGAAGGTCATTTCAAAAATGGTTTTCTTTTGTACTCACCTGTATGTTCCCTTTAAACCATTTCATGTGCGGTACTCTGTATTATACAGGGTGGGCCTCAAAAGTCTACCCGTCCTTATCTCTTAAAATTGTAACAGCTCGCTGAGATCTCACTAATTATTTTAAAAACAAAAAGTGGCATAACTTATGTTCTGATAAATATTTTTGCTTCTAAATTTCACAGAATGTTAATAACAAGTAGATAAACCTTTGTGGCAAGTTTTGTGTGATTGCGAGCTTCACTGAGCTTATTTGACCAATTTAGCCCCTGAGCGAGCTAGCTTGAATTTCTCACCCAGAAATGTTTACATTGGTTAACAGGAACCACCAAAAACAATCCTGGGTAACAAAATAAAAAAAACCAGCGATTTATTCACGTTTTACCAATTCTATTCACATGAATCCATCGCACATTCCATTCTCTCTATATTTTAACTGATAAGGACTATCACAGATGATCCTTCCTGCTTGTTTATATCGTTCTTCTCACATGGAATGTGCGATGTATCATGGTGAATAGAATTGGTAAAACATAAATAAATCGGTGGTTTTTTAATTTTTTTACCCAGGGTTTTTTTTGGTGGTTCCTATTAACCAATGTAAACATTAATGGGTGAGAAATTAAAGCTAGCACGCTCAGGAGCTAAAATTGTCAGACAAGCTCAGACTCACACAAAACTTGGCACGAAGTTGTGTCTAATTATGATTGACATTCTCTAAAAATTTGAAGCAAAGATGTTAATCAGAACGTAAGTTATGGCGCTTTTTCATTCTGAAATAAAATAATTAGTGAGATCTCAGCGAGCTGTTACAATTTTAAGAGATAAGGGTAGACTTTTGAGGCCCACCCTGTATTTGCATATATCTGTTTGACAGATGATTGTTTCAGATATGTCTACCAGAGAACCCACCTTGGTACGATTTACTGGACTGTAGCCGGGAGACTTGTGAGGAGATCTCTAAAACAATCCTCAACCTCTACTGCATACCTCGGCCCAACTCTGAAAAACTTGAAAGGGCCATCAATGCTGCTAAAGAAGCCTATGAATTGAAGAAATCATTTAATGAGAAAAGTAAAAGAGACTTGAAGGAAGTCAAGAAATTGGAATCAGCCAGTAACTTTTCGCCTTTAGACCCTAGTAGAAACAAAGACTCGCCTCAGAAATCTAAGCTATCTCCGGCTTCCGTGATAAACAATAAACTAAGTAAACTAGCCGAGAATGGGGGTTCAGAAGGTCATAAAAATGGTAATGTGCGGCGCTCAAAGCACCACTCCCCGAGAAGGCGGTATAGTCCAGTCAGCCCACCCCGACGGAAACACGATCGTTACAGAAAAAAACGCAGATCATCGTCAGATTCAGAGAGCAGTTCGCTTGTCAGAAAAAGAAAACACCGGTCAAAGAGGCATGCCTCTAGTTCCTCTGACGATTCTAGTTCCTCTTCTGATAGCGAGGTAACTAACTCCCTGGTTTATTGACCTATTGAACGGGAAATACAAAATGTAGCCCCTACTAGTAGACGCTTCCCAACCCCCCCTCTCCCCCCCCCCCCCTGAACTAGCCCTCTCATAATATAGCCCTTTTAGCGTTTACCACTGACCTTGCCCCCTTAACCTAACCTTAAACCCTACCCCAAACTTAGCAGCCTTGTATCCAGCCATCCTAGTACTTTATTAATCAGGTTATACCTTCAGGCTGCCCGCGAAGAGGTCAGGAAAAGGAAGCACGAAGAAAAGAAGAAGCTCGCTGACCAGAGAAAACTTCAGGAGAAGATAAAGCTGCTTGAAAAGGAGAAAGAGAGGAGTAAAAAAGAGAAACATGAGAAAATTTTAAGGGACTCTGGCAAGGAACACAGGCACAAAGTCAGATAACGGTTTTTAATGGTTTTGTAAAAACTAATAATGAACTGTTCATCGGTTGAGCGAAGTTATGCAAATGAATTGTGAGCTAAAAATAAATAAAAACAATCAGTTTTAATTTACGTTGGGTTTCATATTCGAAGCAATCGACCTGTTTATTTAAATAGTACCTGGGTTCCTTTTTATGTGATGCCAAACATTTTATCCATTATGTTCTTTCCCCTCGAGACCCCAGTCCTCGATTCTAATCAGATACCCGTGCATACTATATTAACATGTTGCCGTTTAGTAATACCATGGTCACCATTTAGTGTTGAGACTTGCAATCAGATCTCTTAGAGTAAATGTTCTGACTCTAAAAATCGTTTACTTGACAAACGGCAATTGCACGTCTTAACGAAAAGGTGGTAAACATGGATACACCACGTTTCCTAAAACTGGCATATATTTTTAACGAGTTTGAAACATATTATTGAATACAATTCTACGCACCTGTTGTGTAATTTAAGATTTCATTCACTTTGAATAATCATGAACTTTTATTTGAATGATCGCCTTTGCGAATTTGGCGAAATAACAGGTATGTGATTGAGATTGATACGTCGGGTTAGAAAAACCTTGGGAGACTTTCGTGTCACATCAATTTAAAATTTACAAATATCTCCTTAACGGGTGATACTCGTAAAATGTTTGTTTCAAATATATAGTAATATCAAGACCGTCGACGAGTCCAACTCGTCGCGCGTCTTGATAGGTTATAAACCTATATCTCCCCAAATAGCACATCCAATTTGATAAGTATAAATTATAACTTGCTTGATTCTGCACTATTAGTTGAAATGTGTCTACCGAAATTGAACAGGGAATTGGAATTGTTTAAGATCACTTCGGAGGCACCTCTACAAAATCTACTCACTTTCGTGCTTTTCACGGAGAACTTGACCAATAAATCCTAACCATTACCCCGAAGCTATGCATAACCCTAACCACAACCCTAACGCTAACCCGAGCCCTAAACAATCGAATTCGTGTCTAACTAGCCTGTCACGTGACCAAAACAGTTGTTTGACCATAACTCTCCAGGGAAGCATTTTCCCTACGTCATGGGGGGTGAAATTGAATCGGAATCGGCGTCCAAAATACACCGAATTAGAATTTAGATTACTTTTAAATACGTCCTCCGTTTTATAGTTATAGAGTGCGTTGTATTTACCACAAATTTCATTCCTTGTTATACAAAATTAAGGGAAAAACGCAAATGAAAGTGTTCAAATCTTTTAGTTGCCCTAAATGCCACTATAACATGTTTTAGTTGCCCTAAATGTTACAACCTCTAAAATTTACTCACTTTGCCTGCATTCGCCGTTTCGTAAAATTTTGGCTTTAGCTTGATCAAACCAAATGTCGATAACGTAGTTAACATTTTTAACCGGGTAAATTCAGTCTCAACATCTCAGGAATACTATTAATCAATTGTGCGGTCAAACATACTCCTAGTGACGTGAGCATGGGGTCCCTTGCGTAGCAGAAAATACCCGTTAAGGACTGCTTTTATAGTTTTAGGTTATATTAGTGGAACTTGAAAATTTGGGAACTTTGCCAACAAAATAATTTTTTTCCGTTGAGCTTATATAATTTGACATTATAAAACGTGAATTGTAAAATGGAACATGAATAAAACAAGAAGTTTTTCGAAATTATAATATTAATAGTAATAAAAATACACAAAACGAAAATATTTTTTGTATGCATTGTATATATCTGGGTACTATAATGGGGATGACATCCATGTTTTCTGACAGATGACAGCGAATAACTACAAATAAGCTTCCAGTATTGAATAATGAAACCCAAAATCACTGTCATATTGTATCAAACAAATATGGTTGACCTCTCTACAAACATCCAAATCTTAGTGCTCTCTCGACGAGAAATTGTCCGAATCCTGCTTCAAATTAGTTTACACCCGTCTTCTGTTTTTCTAATTGACTACATGTTCTCAAATTCTATTCTGAGTTGAAATAAAACATTAATAAAAATAGCTGTAAAGTTCAATGTTAAGATGTACGGTTGAATGGTGTTCTTACAGTGGGAGCAAAGATCGATGTGAAATAAAATGTTGTTAATGTTATTGCGATCATAATTGAGGAGATTTTAAAGACGTGTAAAACGGATCAGGGGAGTCACTTTTTGAAAGGTAACCAATCAAATTTATAGTTAATCACCGTACGGCGTACATTTGTCTTCATTGGTTGGTTGAAAAATGTGTTGAAAAGTCACGGTCTTTCTCTACACCTACTCAACTTTTAAATCAAAATAAACCGAAAAAGAGTCACTTTCAAGTGAAGATCACTTACTTGCATAGTCGACGCAAGTTTCACAATCACAATGGCCAGCCTCCTGGCCGCAATACCCCCACGGTGAACAGCAACTGTAGACAGTATCAGGATCACACTGAGCAGGGAGTCCGTTAGGTAGGGGGTACTCAGCTCCGCATCGTCCATCGTCTCTCCATAATTTTGGGGGCGCAATTTTAACTCCGTAGTCAACACACCATTTTGTTTCGAGTGAGCACCATCCCCACTTAGAACAGCAAACAGCGCCTAAAGGGTGGTCAGGGTTACACTGACTAGGAGAGCCATCCGCGAGGGGGAACGTCGGACCACATCGCCTGTCGTCTCTCCAAGTAATAGCTGCAATAGAAGTCTTATTACTTATACATATAACAAACAAGTTTAGGTTTTTGTTGTAATCAACTACATTTATTGATTAATGGTGTTTTGACATGAGTTGAAAGTATGATTATCATTATTTGAATATACAACTACAAGCAATATTTGGGTACTGTTTTCCTATCATCTACAGAAACTACAATGACTGTCATCTTTAATAATTATTTACATCATTTTGAATTCCTTGAAAACCTTTCAAATTCCAACTTGCACATTGTGTATTAGTATTACTATCAGCTTTGGTTTTCTCGCTCCTATCTCGAAGTACGCTAGTTAGTAGTTATTAAGCTATCGAAAGCAAGCCAAAGATATTTCTACTGAGTGTGATTGATGCAATAAACCTTGATTCATTACAATTCACAAGCCGTGAATGATTGGGAAAAGCGAGCGACCAGTAACCAGTTCCATTCTCGGTATCATTTTGCATTTGAGAACGTTAATTAAAATTGATATCACTTCCTTTTGATTGGGAAACTGAAAGGGAGATACTGGCAACGGTCCACTCTACCCAATTATGCCTATGGGTTTTGGCAAAAGTAACTTAACCGGATTACGAAAATCAAGACGAATCTAAAAATTGGACACTAGACACAGCTGCTTAACTGAAATTGCACAAATTGGACTGCATTACCAGGATCTGATTCGAAATCACCTGCCATTTCGATCTAATTAAGAAATAAAAACACATTCATCATTTCACTGCCACCTAGCGCATATTTGTACATTACTAAGAGAACACTTATTACTATTACTAATAACACTTATTACTAATAAAACACTTATATATTAGTCGCAGCGATATAATATCCGCAATTCTTGAAAATGTGTCAACCCGACCAAATGTGCTGCATGATAGTGATCGCAGATCAGAGCTGTAATTAGAAATTATAATTAATTGATGGAATTTGAAATTACGATTTTTGATTTTAAATAAATATTTGCGTGCCCTGCTAGATGAACATTTCATGTTATTACAATCATACATGTTTAAGTAGACATTCATTGGCACTACGGACCAGTCCCCAATCAATCACTTACTCTTAGTCTTAGTGTTCTAATTTTACCTGGGCAAGGGTCAGCGTTGCAGTCTTGAGATTCCGAATCGTCTCCATTGCAATCAACCCCTCCATTTGCTGGGGCAGGGTTAGAACAACTTCTGATCCTATTTTGAGATCCTCCTCCGCATGCAACCGAGCACTCTGACCAATCCGAGAATTCAGACCATCCTCCGTCAACGGGACAAGGGTCAGCGTTGCAGTCTTGAGATTCCGAATCGTCTCCATTGCAATCAACTCCTCCATTTGCTGGTGCAGGGTTGGAACAACTTCTGATCCTATTTTGAGATCCTCCTCCACATGCAACCGAGCACTCAGACCAATCAGAAAAGCTAGACCATTCTCCGTCAACTGGACAAAGGTTATTGTTAATTTGGCAATTGGAGCACACCAAAATTTTGTATTACGTCAGCAGCCGAGAGGGGGGGGGGGGGGGGGGGGGGGGGGGGGGGGGGGGGAGAGGTTGGGGGAATACTGACGGGGCAGAGCCCAGAGGAATCTGGACTTTTTTCCCGAACACTACACACTACCTACCCGAGATACTATCTTGGAATCGATGCTTCCCCTTTGCAATTAAATCTCGGAAGGCATGCCTCCCCTTTGCACCGTAAACTTGAAATTTGTTTGCCATCGATTTTATCAGATCTCTAACTTAATTTTAACATGGTTTTTAAGGCACCTGAATATGGCGATTTTGGGTTTTTACCGAATTTCGTATAACTATTATAACAGTGCTGGCGCGTATTTTGCGCAAATTCTTTAAAAATCTATACATAACTATTTTTATTCCTGTCATCTATGCAGACATTGAATTAGAATACTTTGAACTTAAAATATGCTTGCTGAACGACTTTCGATCAGTCCTAATAAACAGTAAAGGGGGTATAATAGTATAGTGAGTATAAATGTATAATGGCGGCGGTCGTGCTTGCCAGCACTGTGATACAAATATTTTGGACTAAAAATGAACCTGCTGAACGACTCTATATGAGTCTAATAGATATAGGATAAAGGGACTATGCTTATATAATATATAAGGAAAGGGGTATACAGTAAAACCCCGATTTATCGCGGAGTTTGGGGAAAAAGAAACATTCGCGGTAAATCGGGGTCTGCAGTGAATCGGGGTTTTGACTTTGTTTGGTTTGCATTATGTATGTTTAGAAAAGTTACTAAAAAAATAACTATCCGGATTACGAAAATCAAAAATAGTCTAAATAATGGACACTAAAGAGCTGCTAAACTGAAATTGCACAAATTGGACTGCATTACCAGGATCTGATTCGAAATCACCATTCACCTGCCATTTCGATCTAATTAAGAAATAAAAACACATTCATCATTTCACTGCCACTTAGCGCATACTTGTACATTACTAATAAAACACTTAGTTGCGGCGATATCCGCAATTCTTGAAAAATTTTTAACCCGACCAAATGTGCTGATTGCAGATCAGAGCTGTAATTAAAAATTATAATTAATTGATGGAATTTTAAATTACGATTTTTTATTTTAAATAAATATTTGCGTGCCCTGCGGGGATGAACATTTCATATAATTACAATCATATAATTATGTGTTTAAGTAAACATTCATTGGCACTACGGACCAGTCCCCAATCAATCACTTGGGGGTATCCAATGGTGAAAAATGGTGAAAAATGGGGAAATTTTACAATTTAAAAACCCAATTTACCATAAAAATCATTCACCATTTTTCACCATTTTTCACCATTTTTCACCATTTTTCACCATTTTAGATTTTTATTTTCAAACTATCAAATCAAAATATTAAATGTGTACCAAGAGCTCAGTTTTGATGAACCCTACTCAGTACTCGCCATGTTCACTAAAAGTAACCAGTTTTATGTACCTCTCGCACCATGGTCACTAAAAGTTACCAGTTTTGGTGTACCTTACTTGCCATGTTTACCCAAAAGATTTGATGTAGCTTTGTCTTTATTCCCCAAAAGTTACCAGTTTTGATGTACCTCATTCGCCATGTCTACCCAAACTTACCACTTTTAATGTACTTTACTCGCCATGTTTACCAAAAGTTACCATTTTCCATGTACCTTACTGATCCTGTTCACTAAAAATTGCCTGTTTTGATGTTACTTACCTGCTGATTTCACCAAAAGTTACCAGTTTTGGTTCAACTTATTAACCATGTTTACCAAAAGTTACCAGTTTTGATGTACAATGTACATTACTCGCCAATTTGACCAAAAAATTGCCATTTTTCGTGTACCTTTCCTACAATGTTCAACAAAAATTGTATGTTTTGATGTTACTTACTCGCTGATTTCACCAAAAGTTACCAGTTTTGGTTCAACTTATTAACCATGTTTACCAAAAGTTACCTATTTGATGTACATTACTCATCCTGTTCACTAAAAATTGCCTGTTTTGATGTTACTTACTTGCTGATTTCACTAAAAGTTACCAGTTTTGGACTTTGGTTCAACTTATTAACCATGTTTACCAAAAGTTACCAGTTTTGATGTACAATGTACATTACTCGCCAATTTGACCAAAAATTGCCATTTTTCGTGTACCTTTCCTACAATGTTCAACAAAAATTGTATGTTTTGATGTTACTTACTCGCTGATTTCACCAAAAGTTACCAGTTTTGGTTCAACTTATTAACCATGTTTACCAAAAGTTACCAGTTTTGATGTACATTACTCATCCTGTTCACTAAAAATTGCCTGTTTTGATGTTAATTACTTGCTGATTTCACCAAAAGTTACCAGTTTTGGTTCAACTTATTTATTAACCATGTTTACCAAAAGTTACCAGTTTTGATGTACATTACTCATCCTGTTCACTAAAAATTGCCTGTTTTGATGTTACTTACTTGCTGATTTCACCAAAAGTTACCAGTTTTGGTTCAACTTATTAACCATGTTTACCAAAAGTTACCTATTTGATGTACATTACTCATCCTGTTCACTAAAAATTGCCTGTTTTGATGTTACTTACTTGCTGATTTCACTAAAAGTTACCAGTTTTGGTTCAACTTATTAACCATGTTTACCAAAAGTTACCAATTTTGATGTACATTACTCGCCAATTTGACCAAAAATTACCATTTTTCGTGTACCTTTCCTACAATGTTCAACAAAAATTGCATGTTTTGATGTTACTTACTCGCTAATTTCACCAAAAGTTACCATTTTCGATGTACCTCTGGCACCATGTTCACCAAAAGTTACCTATTTGGTCGACTTCACAAGGTGGATTGCCTTGTTGTTGAGGAAGGATTATATCTCCGAACTGACACAGAGCTGAATGGCTCCCAGAAAGTGTATAACCTGTCCTACACGCTAGTGAAATGTTTGCCCCGTGCTCCACTGGAAGTAGGTCCTCACTCAGTTCAAACTGGTTCTCATCACCGGGCCAAGTGGTGCAGGAAGCTGAAGTGAGAGTATTAGATGGATGACTGTTCAATCTGGTGGAACTGGAATGTTGTTAGTCTAAAAAAGAAGATAATACTGTCTACTGGTATTAGCAAAATTACTATTTAAATATTTACATGTATCGAACAGTTGATCTATTAAACGTACCTTCTAGAGGTTCCCCGATAGTATAAGAGTCCGATGCTGTATCCCTGGTACTGAAGACGATTGTCGTGTCCTGGACTCCATATATCTCTGCGCACACACTTTCCTCTGCTGTTGCAAACATGTACTCCAACACTTCAATGCCATTGCAGTGGACAGTCAGTCTATCGAGCTCCTTGGTGATCATCCAATATTTGTTGTCATTGGAAGGTAGGTTGATGAATTGACGTCTAGTGACATGAGGGTACGTCTGAGAGTTATCACAGTTTGTTAGGAAGTAGTTAGTGACACTGCCGTAGTTATTGCCGAAGTTAATCTCGAACCAGCGCCCATATGGACCAGATCCTCCGAAGTCTATCCACACTCTCTCCTTGCTGTTTTCTTTCGAGTTGGTTCTGATGTAGAGGGGTTCACCCGGCATATTGATGCTCACTGGGTTATCGTATCCTCTGATCACAGGCATCCACTTTGCTGATAAGAAAATTTACATTTATAGACCGTGCCGTGGATTATTTAAACTGGTTTAAACTGGGGGAGGGGGGGGGGGGGGGGGGGGGGGGGGGGGGTGGGGGGAGGGGAGGGGGGACCAAATTTATACTATGTTCAATGTTCATGTTAGTTCTTCGTAATTTTTTTCGATTTAATAATTTGGTCTGCATGCTTGATTCATACTGTAAACTGAAATATACTCTTACCTTCTGTTATATCAGGAGCTAACGTGAACGCTAACGTGAAGGCTAACATGAAAACTTCCATTCCAAAACTATGTAACTATACTAATGAAAAATAATATAATTATGAAAGTCTGACACACAATTGAGTAGAAATTCTAGCTTTCCTACAATGTTTTAACTAATTTGGAAGTGGTGTAGATTAAGTCAGCTAACGGTAAAAAGCACTGATAAGAGCATAGATGATAAATCGTTACTGAGCCCCAGTGGTCAGTTGTATTGTTTAAGTTCTAAAGAAAGTTATTATTACAAACTAAGAACGGTAAACTGGAAGAGCGAGAACTGACAAGTTAATGATTCACGAGAAAAATTACTAAATATTTAAACGATCCAAATGGTTTAACGACCGAACGCCTAGATTAATTTTCCAGTATTCAAAAACAACTGCTTTCGGTTTTGTGATCCTACATAATTTTACAGTGGTACTTGAACTTACCATATTACTTAGCACATTTAAACAAATATTACTAATACTATGCAATTCATAACGAATCCACGTGAGTTTTCCGAATTTAAATTATAGGACATCTTTACGGAAGTCAATCATCTTGGACACTAAATTGGGAGATAATTAGGAGATAATACCTATTCTTATTATCACAATTTAGAGACACTAGCAGGAACCCGTCTAACCCTAAAGTGGTGTCAAGACTCAAGAGACTAAAATAATTATTATTTATTTAATTCGCGCTTTTGACACCACTTGGGGGTCCAAATTTTGGGCTCTAAAATTCTTATTCCTTGACCAATTTTTTTATTTTTTCATGCTGATTTGAATAGAAGGCCATTAAAGCATCCTATAGTAAGATACTTCGACGTATAATTGTCAACAAAAGGTGTTCACTAGAGTAAATTACCAAATTGTTTTTGAGTTATAACAACAGGTTAAAATTTGAAATGAGGCAAATAAATTATCGAGAAAAATTTCACCAATTTTTCACCATTTTTCACCATTGGATACCCCCCAATCATTTAGTGTTCTAATGTTACCTGGGCAAGGGTCAGCGTTGCAGTCTTGATATTCCGAATCGTCTCCATTGCAATCAACCCCTCCATTTTCTGGGGCAGGGTTAGAACAACTTCTGATCCTATTTTGAGATCCTCCTCCGCATGCAACCGAGCACTCAGACCAATCAGAAAAGCTAGACCATTCTCCGTCAACTGGGCAAAGGTCATTGTTAATTTGGCAATTGGAGCACACCAAAATTTTGTTTTCGCAAAAATTTGTCAGATGACGTATAATTCTGTCGTAACTGGTAACGTACGCAGTATTATATGGAGTACGGTACTGATCTACACAATGTGGCATATTTATTTTAACAGAGTGCCCTAGTTAGCTAAGGGTTATAACTATTTTTATTGTAACGATTAAAACCCAGGTGCTGTCCCGGTTTACATTACAATCAATTATTATTAATAATAATTAAGCCAGAAATATCAAATTAGAAAAAAAGTGAACATCCGCGGTAAATCGGGGTCTGCGGTAAATCGGGGTTTTGTTTGGTTTGCATTATGTATGTTTAGCAAATTTACTATAAAAATAACTATCCGAATTACGAAAATCAAAAAGAATCTAAATATTAGACACTAAAAAGCTGCTAAACTGAAATTGCACAAATTGGACTGCATTACCAGGATCTGATTCGAAATCACCTGCCATTTCGATCTAATTAAGAAATAAAAACACATTCATCATTTCACTGTCACCTAGCGCATATTTGTACATTACTAATAGAACACTTATTACTATTACTAATAACACTTATTACTAATAGAACACTTATTACTATTAGTATTACTAATAACACTTATTACTAATAGAACACTTATTACTATTACTAATAACACTTATTACTAATAAAACACTTATATATTAGTCGCAGCGATATCCGCAATTCTTGAAAATTTGTCAACCCGACCAAATGTGCTGCATGATAGTGATCGCAGATCAGTACAGAGCTGTAATTAGAAATTATAATTAATTGATGGAATTTGAAATTACGATTTTTGATTTTAAATAAATATTTGCGTGCCCTGCTAGATAAGATGAACATTTCATGTTATTACAATCATACATGTTTAAGTAGACATTCATTGGCACTACGGACTAGTCCCCAATCAATCACTTACTCTTAGTGTTCTAATGTTACCTGGGCAAGGGTCAGCGTTGCAGTCTTGAGATTCCGAATCGTCTCCATTGCAATCAACCCCTCCATTTGCTGGGGCAGGGTTAGAACAACTTCTGATCCTATTTTGAGATCCTCCTCCGCATGCAACCGAGCACTCAGACCAATCCGAGAATTCAGACCATCCTCCGTCAACGGGGCAAGGGTCAGCGTTGCAGTTTTGAGATTCCGAATCGTCTCCATTGCAATCAACCCCTCCATTTGCTGGGGCAGGGTTAGAACAACTCCTGATCCTACTTTGAGATCCTCCTCCGCATACAACCGAGCACTCAGACCAATCAGAAAAGCTAGACCATTCTCCGTCAACTGGGCAAAGGTCATTGTTAATTTGGCATTTGGAGCACACCAAAATTTTGTCAGATGACGTAAAATTCTGTCGTAACGTACTGATCTACACAATGTCTTTTAACAGAGTGCCCTAGTAAGCTACTGCTAAGGGTTATAAGGCCCAGGTTCTGGTTGAGAGTACTTAACTTCCTTTAGCCCGGGGTCGTAGGGTTATCAGGGTAATCAGTTAAAATCACATAATAATGGAGCACTGAAGGACTTGACTATATAATTATCAGAGTAGTGAAGGTTTATAGTACAGTACAGTATACTTATTATAGTACAGTACTATACTAATATTACAGTCAAATATATAATTTTGCCGGAAATTATTTGGAATATTAAGCGATTAATAGCTTAATAGTAGCCATTCCAGAGCGTTCCCAAAGAATCTCACTTGGGAAAAACAAAATTGGTTAGTGCCAGGTTCGTTTCATCTTTAACGGGAAAATGTTCATGGCAAGGTAAAGAAAAGTAAATTATTGTGAATTAATATCATTACCAGGTACTTGACCACAAGTGAGGAAGATATCTTCACTGTGAGCACAGTTGTGTGATGTAATGTAGGTACAGGAACTCCAATACGTACTGCTGCATCTGACGTCATCAAGTCCTATGTTGTAATTATTCTGTATGTCCCATTTTGAACCAGAATTCCAGCTCACTTCCTCGTGAAGGAATCCCATTTCTCTACAAATAGCTGCAGCAGCATTATCAGAGAAACTATCGTCACACACTGTGTTACCATCTACTAAAAGCAATCCAATCTGTACACCTTGAGTAATAGTGGCACCTCCACTGTCCACGAGTCTGAATACTGCAAGTACGTAGTGTTAAACTTAAAGTGTTAATGAACAACATGTATAGTTTTCATGCTTTAACCCTTGATAACCATCATATATCAACCCTCATATATAACTAGGCAGTGCGCCATCGACTGTAAGACGCGCGCGCTGACCATTGAATGATTTTGTAGCTCTTATTTCGGCCAGCACATTATTTCGGAAACAATCAAAAAGTTATAATACTTCCCATATGACAATTTTGTTGAAATTTGGTCAGCGTATGTAAACACTTATGTTTTACTGAACCTAATTTAGTTTGAGCAATTTCGATGGTCAGAATTTGAGTTATCAACGGATTTATACCTATTTTGTCATTTTTAGACCACTTAATCAAGGCCAATCTCTCCCAACTAAATTAGGTTCGGTAGTTAAGTATGATTGGAAGGTTCTGACAAATTTTCAGCATGATTCATGTTCAGAAACTGAAGATATGATAGAATAATACGACAAAAATCAACGAATTTCGTCAAATTACGCGACTTTTACACCTAATTTTGCTCCAAAAGCCGCGCACCATCAAATTTGGCACCTAGGCGAAACTCACTGATCATTCCAAAAAGGTATAACAAATTTGGTACTGTGAAAATTCTCACAGTCTCTAGAAAACAATGGTACAAAAATTTTGAAAATCCGAGCAAGTTTATTTTATCGTGCACCCCCTAATATAACCATCATGTATCAACCCTGTTCTTATGTGTAACCTGGCTCGCCAATCCCTGTGCGCGGCGCTCTTTTCAAGCTTCCTGAATCCTGTACTGCATGATACGTGAGATGAGCGCGCCGACTCACTGCGACTGCGAGCGAGACGACCTTGTATCACGTCGTGACCCCCGCTGTCGTTTCACTATAGTAGAGTTTTAACGATACAGGGGGAGCCGCGCACTCGTGCGCGGCGGGCCATACAACGTATGACAAAGACGACCAGGGTATGCGTTGTCGGATGTTACTTGTCTAAATTTCTACGAAGTAGCGCGCGCGGCGCCGCGCCGGGGAATACTGACGGGGCAGAGCCCAGAGGAATTTGGACTTTTTTGCCGACTGGACCAGGGACCTACCCCGAAATATTTATTTTGGAAGTGCTGCATTTACGTTATATGATTTAAATCTGTCATGGATCAACATTTAAAAAATTAACGGGTGATACTCGTAAAATATCTGTTCCATATATTGGACCGTCGACGAGTCCAACTCGGCGCGCGTCCTGGTAGGTTGTATATGTAAACCTACAATTTAAAAACAGTGGCACTATAAAGCTATTTGTACCACGTCGTGACACCCACGGTCGTTTCACTTTGTCTTCATCGTTCTTACGATACAGGGGAGCCGCGCACTCGTGCGCGGCGGGTCATACAACGTATGACAAAAAAGGAAAGGGTGGATAATGATTAATTACTCTATCGAGTGTAGATCTACACTCGACAGTCACGTGACTTTTTAAACACGTTCTCTAGCTGTACTGCAACTGGCCCTGAATGACTATTCGAAATCCTAGCCCTCTAATCTGATCCCAACCCTAACCCTAATCTAATCTTTAACAAAAGCATACATTACCTTGGGACCTCAGGCTACCATGTTCATAAATAGAGATTAGGCGGAATGACAGGCTGAGCGCGGCCCAGTAAAAGCATACACTGAAACCCTTGTAGCGCGATGCGTTACTGTGCCGCGCCGCGCACTCAATGAGGCTTCTCTAGATCGGCGAGATGCGCTACTGTGCCGCGCCGAGCTGAGATGAATTGACATCGTCAATTAACTGAAACCCTAACCCTTACGAGAAATTAGACCAACTTCCTTATACCATATACGGTCATATCATGTGATCGAGACAGTTTTTCGATAATATCTCGCCAGGGGAGCATTTTAACCCTATTATATATGTCATGGGGGGTGATTCGGAATTTGACCATTGTTAATGGTCTGGCCCGGCGCGCGCTACTTCGTAGCACGTGCCATCGGGAAGAAAGCGGCTTACTGGGCCGCGCTCAGCCTGTCATTCCACCAAATCTCTATTTGTTTATGAACATGATAGCCTGAGGTCCCCAGGTAAGAAAGCGGCGCGCGCTACGTCGAAGAAATTTAGACGAGTAACATCCGTCAATTCGGAATCAGCGTCCGCGCGGGATGATGATTAATCACTCTACACTCGATCGACTGTCACGTGACTTTTTCAACCCCTTCTCTAGCTGGTCCTGAACGACTATTCGAAACCCTAACCCTCTAATCTGATCCCATCCCTAACCCTAACCCAATCCTTAACAAAAGCATATGCTGAAACCCTAACCCTAACTAGATATTAGACTAACTTCCTTATACGGTCATATCACGTGATCGAAACAGTTTTTCGCCAATATCTCGTCAGGGGAGCATTTTAACCCTATGTCATGGGGGGAGTTTCGGAATCAGCGTCCGAAAATACATCGAATAAAGTTGGTTTCAACTGTCGGGGGCCCTTTTAGAACAATCTCGAAGATCGACTGTAGAGAGATTTAGCACGCTCGGTCCGCGCGTCCGAAAATACATTGATTCAAGTTGGTTTCAACTACCGGGGGCCCTTTTAGAAAAATCTCGAAGATCGACTGTAGAGTGATTTAGCACGCTTGGGAAAAGGTATATGCACGATATAAAAACTTAGAGCTTAAGAAGAATAAATGTATTTTGTATTTTACCCTGGCGGTCACATTCAGTGCGAGGACTCGCAGACCAGCGCCCCCTATATGTCATGTGCGAAGTGCCCACCAGAAAGCATTCTCGGTAAGCCCAATATGCGGGACTCACGGCTACTCCTTTACAGCGGGGATTAGCATCACACCATTCCTGACAACTCGCAAAACTCCTAAACTGTCTCTGGTCTAATTTCTGGGATTCCGGAAACATACCAACATTCTGCTGGTAGTCTGTATAACAGCCTGAAACGACACCTGAAACAATACAATTATATTAAATGATTTAGGGTCTTCAATTTTCAAAGTCTAGTCACAAGTCAATGAGTACTGAGTAGTCATGGATCAACATTTAAAAACAGTGACACTATAAAGCTATAAGTATAAAAGAAATTGGAAATGTAAACGCAAAATCAAATATTTAATGAGGATAAAAGGAAAAGGTATATGCACAATGTAAAAACTTAGAGTTGGAGGACTTTGCCGCTTCGACGCGCCGCGCAAACTAGCATTCTTGCTCCGCATCGAAGCTCTGTTAATCGTTGCTCTGTTAATTCGCAGAGCAACGATGTGGAAGGGTTGACATCGTCAATCAAACTTAGAGCTTAAGAAGAAAAATGTATTCTGTATTTTACCCTGGCGGTCACATTCTGTTTGAGGACTCGCAGACCAGCCCCTCCTTGTTGTTATGTGCGAAATGCCCACCAGAAAGCATTCTCGGTAAGCCCAATATGCGGGACTCACGGCTACTCCTTTACAGCGGGGATTAGCATCACACCATTCCTGACAACTCGCAAAACTCCTAAACTGTCTCTGGTCTAATTTCTGGGATTCCGGAAACATACCAACATTCTGCTGGTAGTCTGTATAACAGCCTGAAACGACACCTGAAACAATACAATTATATTAAATGATTTAGGGTCTTCAATTTTCAAAGTCTAGTCACAAGTCAATGAGTACTGAGTAGTCATGGATCAACATTTAAAAACAGTGACACTATAAAGCTATAAGTATAAAAGAAATTGGAAATGTAAACGCAAAATCAAATATTTAATGAGGATAAAAGGAAAAGGTATATGCACAATGTAAAAACTTAGAGTTGGAGGACTTTGCCGCTTCGACGCGCCGCGCAAACTAGCATTCTTGCTCCGCATCGAAGCTCTGTTAATCGTTGCTCTGTTAATTCGCAGAGCAACGATGTGGAAGGGTTGACATCGTCAATCAAACTTAGAGCTTAAGAAGAAAAATGTATTCTGTATTTTACCCTGGCGGTCACATTCTGTTTGAGGACTCGCAGACCAGCCCCTCCTTGTTGTTATGTGCGAAATGCCCACCAGAAAGCATTCTCGGTAAGCCCAATATGCGGGACTCACGGCTACTCCTTTACAGCGAGGATTAGCATCACACCATTCCTGACAACTCCCTAAACTCCTGAACTGTCTCTGGTCTAATTTCTGGGATTCCGGAAACATACCAACATTCTGCTGGTAGTCTGTATAACAGCCTGATTGTTTTTCTTACGGTATTAAATGATTTAGGGTCTTCAAAATATCCAGGTAGAATTGTACAAAATTGTATAAAATGCGAAGAACTAGTAACTAGCACTGGAAAATTGGACCATTGTTACTGTTAGCATTGCTATTAGTCCAGTGTTGGTTCACAATCACATGTTGGTGAAATTAAGAAGTTTGATCGAGCCTAATAACGCGAAGTCATGGACATATGTTGAGAATCTGCTTTATCATTATGATTATGTTATTGTTAGGTAATTTCCATTCAAATTACTTGAATTTAATCAAAAATTAGAATCAAATATTTGTATTTACCTGTTGCAAAAGCAGCCCCCAATAGGCACGCCAAAAAGAAAAGCTTCATGTTAATTTGTTATCCCGATGCTAGAAAGAAAATTGAGTGGTATGGCATTAACCATCAATAAAAAATAAAATTCAATATTGAATATAACAATATATACTACTCATAAAATCTGTCCAGCTAAATACAAAGACGGCAAGTGGCATACATTTTATATTTTAGATGAAATTTATAAACAATTACTGAAGCTGGCATTTCAACTAGCTTTAGTTTAAATAAATCCAAGGCATGATGAAAGTTTGAATATATTAAAGTGACGACCAAGTATGAAGTAAAATCAAGTATAGTGAGGAGATGTCCCCTGATATGAGCTATGAGGACATCTCAAGTCGTATTAATGAAGAACTGAACGATTGCTGCAGTCGTATTAATACAGCTTAATTCCCGTCCCACAACGCGTGCACTGCCGCGTGCACTGCCACGTGCACTTTGTGCGAGAGTCGTGACCTGAATTAGCCACGTCACACTAAATTGAACAAAAGTTCCTCTTCTGTCTTCGATTGCAGCTGAATTCTTGTTGAATATAATTTATATAAAAGATTAAAAGAAATTTGATCCTCGAATCATTATTTGAGGATAATTGCAGTTGTCTTATTATATCATTCGTCGTCTAGGTAGTTTCTATGTATATATTTTAATAAGTTTTTCTTTAATCTTTATTCAATTAATTTTTATCATGAACCTCAGATTTGATAATACTAATAGGTGCCTAACTCAAGAAATGCTAAAACATTTCTAGCGTGCCCACTCTGAATCACTCTAAAAGCTCGAAAAAGTCGAAACAGCTGAAACCAAATTGAAATTGAATCGATATATTTTTGAACGCTGATTCCGAATCACCCCACATGATAATGATATAACTATAAGGTTAAAATCCTCCCTGGCGAGTTATCGGCAAAAAAATGTTTCGATAACATGACCACAAGTACAACCATCATACTTTACAATTACAATTGTAATAGATTAAAAAGAACTACCCGAAGGCAGCTGAACTAGGCAATAAAGATCCAATAAACATCAGCTTATTGGACACTAACTATATCGCCCTTATCCCGAAGTACTAGCTATCGACCCGAAAGCAACCCAAAGAGATTTTTGCAGCATGTGATTGATGTAATTAATCGAAACTTATTACAATTCGTAAGCCGTGAATGAATGGGAAAAGCGAGCGACCGATTTCATTCTCGGTATCATTTTGCATTTACGGACGGTCATTCAAATTAATATAATTTACTTTTGTTTGGGAAAGAGAGACACTGGCAGCGGTCCACTCTACCCAATTATGGGTTTTGGTCAAATATACTATAGAAAGTAAGTGAAATCGAGTATGCAGTTTGGTGTCTACAATTTTTTCTAGGGACAGGGTCCTTTGCAAGGACAAAAAGAAATCGCGACATGTGCAGAATCACGCTTATTTCAGTTCTCCGCGACAAATCACGCATTGTCCTTTAAATCTGAGGACCAAATATCACATTCTCAATGAGTATATGGAACCATCAACCAATAACATCCACAGCCTTACGAATGTAGGTACGAACTTCGAAAAACCGATAAAATATTTTCGGCTCATAATGATCAGGGTAACATAAAACGTGAACAGAAGTTTCCAGCATGAACCGTAGAGAAAAGTGGTTCCTAGGAATCTACTTTCACAAGCATTTCTTAACCCACTCGCCTGCTGACGTAACCTTATCAGCCTTAAACTTCCCTAAAACTTGACCACTATAGACATAAATTTGACCACTAAGTTCTGGCGAACTTAAGTTGTCGAACTAAAGTGCGAATCTTGTCAGATACTGGTCACAAACGTCGCCGGATCAATAGTTATTGATTTGTGTATTTCTTGTTATTGAACAATGGACCGCTTTCTAAAACTTACTGGGCGGCGAGAGCACTTTTGATCTAGGCGATTTAAGAATGAAAAAGGAATTCCGATCATTTCCTATTTTTTTTATATTCTTGTTTTGTATATTTTTTGTCAGTGCAGTGGATACTAATTTCTGCTCATTTTGGGTTAAATACACTACCAGTTAAAGGTAAGGGGTCAAGAGTGGGATAAAATTTAATTTATAAAACTTTTTTAGATTCGATAATAAATTGCAGTTAAATTGTGGCTAAAGTTGTAAATTTTTAACAGTGTTAGAATTTTTAATGAAAATTAGGCATTACCCGGAAAATCGGATGAGATAAGGGGCAAATTATTATATAACATTATTCATGAACCAATTTGTGTTGCACGATGTATAATCAAAAGTACGGACTTTTATCAAATTCAAGCGTACTCCATTTTACCAACTTATAAAAATGACACATTAAACGAACTTAAATCACGATTCTAAATTGCCCTTGCAATAGCATCAGGCATTCAGCTATTCAGGGTAGCATGAAACGTAAACAAAAGAAGTTTCCAGCATGAACCAAGGCGAAAAGTGGTTTCTAGGAAATAGGAATCCACTTTCACAAGCATTTCTTAACCCACTCGCCTGCTGACGTAACCTTGTTAGCCTAATTAAACTTGACCACTATAGACATAAAGTTGACCACTAGACATAAAGTTGACCACTAGACATATAAAACTTGACCACTAGACATAAACTTGACCACTAGACATACAATGGATCGTGAAATCGTGCTGTAGGTGAAATCAGTGTTGTTATTGATTGTCACTTCTCAGATGGTACACGTACCCTAGTTCGACACGTACTCTAGTTCGAAAGAACTTAGACTGGATGAAAAAGATATTTAATATCTATAAAGATACATTTTGTAATTTAGATTATCTATCAATTTAGCTTTCCACTTATTTTGCTTTCCACTTATTTTGCTTTCCACTTATTTTGCATTTCACTTATCTCATGCTGTATAACTAATATTATGAGTAATATGTGCACATTATGTAATCTTATTGGGAGCTTAGCTTAGCTGATTGTAATCCTGGACCAGGCAAAAGTCCTGCTCACATTGGGACTGTCGCTAAGTTTCTCGATGTAATTCGACTTACATGACCCTAAATAACATAATTGACTCGGGTACACTTTTTCACCAGTGGGGCATTTCTCGGAATCACGCCCTTTTTGACCGCACCCATATCGCGACCCCCACTATAAATTATCTCGGCTTCTGATTGAGATACAGACCTCAGCCATGAACCAAACGGTGCCTAAGATGCTTGTTTATATTAGTGCTATGAAGATACTTAAGGCCTAAGAGACTTAGTTTTTGAGAAATCGCCAAAAATACGATTTTACTATATTAGCAGTCTCGAGAGTAACAATTATCACACTTATTTCAAGATATCTCCGCTTCTGATTGGAGCTAAGCGCTCATCTTGGGCATTAAAATGGTCAAAATCGTCATATTGAGTGGGGTAGAGCATGGTTTCAAAGTCTTCAGACTTCAGGTTGTTGAGTTATTAGTTCAGATCCCAATGTTATGCTCTCGCGAGTAGCGATTGACACACTTATTACAAGATATCTCAGCTTCTGATTGGAGCTAAGCGTTCATCTTGGGCATTGAAATGGTCAGAATCATCATATTGAGTGGGGTAGAGCATGGTTTCAAAGTCTTCAGACTTCAGGTTGTTGAGTTATTAGGTCAGATCCCATTTTTACGCTCTCGCGACTAGCGATTGATGCACTTATTTCAAGATATCTCCGTTTCTGATAATTGGAGCTAAGCGCTCATCTTGGGCATTAAAATGGTCAGAATCATCATATTGAGTGGAGTAGAGCATGGTTTCAAAGTCTTCAGACTTCAGGTTGTTGATTTATTAGGTCAGATCCCATTTTTACGCTCTCGCGAATAGCGATTGAAGCACTTATTTCAAGATATCTCAACTTCTGAGTGGAGCTGTGGAGATAAGCGTTCATCATGGGCATGTTATAAACGCGCGTCCTGGTAGGTTATAAACCTACAACTTGTCACAAACGTTGTCGGATCTATTGTTATTAATTTGTGTTTTGCTTGTTATTGAACAATGGACCGCTTTCTAAAACTTACTGGGCGGCTAGAGCACCTTTGATCTAAGCGAGATACTGGCCGGGGCCGGCGTGGTTTGATAATTTATAAGAAAAAGGAATACCAGTTAAAGGTCCGGGGTCAAGAGTGGGGTTAAATCTAATATTCAAAACTTTCTTAGATTCAATATTTAATTGCAGTTCAGTTGTGTTTGTAGCTAAAGCTGCCAAGTTGTAAATTTTTGACAGTGTTAAATTTTTAAATGAAAATATTAGGCATTTAGGTATCGTCAGGACGATAAAGGTGAAACGACCGTGGGGGTCACAACGTGATACAATGAATTTGAAAAAAGTCTTTACTTTTGATTATACACCGTGCAGCACTAATTAGTTCATGAACAATGTTATGTAATAAGTTGCTCCTTATCTTAACCGATTTTCCGGGTAAATTTTACCGGGTCATACAACGCATGACAACAAATTTAAGCGTACTTTTTAATGAAATGAGGCATTACCCGGAAAATCGGATGAGAAAAGGGGCAAATTATTATATAACATTGTTCATGAACCAATTTGTGTTGCACGATGTATAACCAAAAGTACGGACTTTTGTCAAATTCAAGCGTACTCCATTTTACCGATTTATAAAAATTTCACATGAAACGAACTTAAATCACGATTTTAAATTGCACGTGGAATACCATTACACATGGTCATACGCAATGACCTTAACAGACCCACAATGCACAATTTTAGCCAGGATCAATATTTGAATCAGCATGGATGATGATTAATCACTCTACACTCGACTGTCACGTGACTTTTTTAACCCGTTCTCTAGCTGGTTCTGAACGACTTTTCGAAACCCTAACCCTCTAATCTGATCCCAACACTAACCCTAACCCAATCGTTAACAAAAACATTTGCTGAAACTCTAACCCTAACGAGAAATTAGGCTAACTTCCTTATACGGTCATATCACGTGATCGATACAGTTTTTCGCCAATATCTCGTCAGGAGAGCATTTTAACCATATGTTATGGGGGTCGATTCGGAATCAGCGTCCGAAAATACATCGATTGAAGTTGGTTACAACCATCGGAGGCCCTTTTAGAATAATCTCGAAGATCGACTGTAGAGTGATTTAGCACGCTCGAATCAGGATCACATCATCATGGGACATGAGCCGATCAAATTGAATACCTAGTTAACGAATATATGACACCTAACTTAGCACTGCAAATATAATACATTATATATCTAAAAAATATGTCTAGAATATATTTTTTGACTCGCACCCCAGTGAAAATAAGTTTTTTTTTGAAGTTTTTTTGACCATCCGTTGTTGTACATATTTTATGCATTTATCGACGATAAACTACAGTACAGCTGTACTTACACCCACATTCACAAGCATGCAAGCTCACCTGGTCCAATGAGCGGGAAACAGAGAACAAGGTCTGGTGACGTCATAGTCACGTGACCTCAGGCTCATAATCACGTGACCTCAGACCCAATCAATTGGGTTCTGGCCTGGTCAGCCCCCTGTCACCCGATCTTGAGGTGACGTACGACACCTCGTTAACCCAATCAATTTCTGGAAGGCTGCAAATTTTCACATGCCAAATCCCTAAGATTCTTAAAGAGTTGTACGAGATGACGATACATAGAGGCCGCAGAATTATGAGGACTACCAGATCCTGGTGGAACCTAAGCGATCCATGATATCACGACAGGCCCTAATTTATCGTTCGTTTTGTTACATTGGTGTAATATCACAATATGAATACGTACTTTTCAAGCTAGAAGTTTACAATAATACGGCAGAATGTAAAATGAACAGCTAAAAACTCTTTAGTTATTCCTCTCCGATCATTTGCGTCCTGCATGGTTTACCTGGCTCGCCGATCCCTGTGCGCGGCGCTCTTTTCAAGCTCCCTGAATATGCAGTGAGAAGAGCGAGCGATAGACTAGCAAGCTAGTTCTGGTTAGTGTTACAGAGTCAAAACTTTGTTTTTAAAACATGGAACAAGGTCAGATAATAAGTTAAATAAGTTAAAACTTATGGGGCCAGAGTAAGAGCACATGTGTTCCAACATGGATGTTACTGGTTTCCCTTATCAGAATATCACATAGTCATAGTACAGTTAAGTCCTGTTTATTTGTGCCTGTCCTAACCAGCCTGAGCTTTTTTGTTTTTCCACTTGCCAGCCGAAACATTCTTTGTCGCCATTATTTTTTATATAAGTTCTGTATTATTTGATGAACGTTTCAAATCAAACCAACTTTAGACAGTTAGCAGATAGAAAGGCATAGTCGGCCATTACGGCATTACTGTGCCATATTACGGCATTACTGTGCCATTACGGCATTACTGTGCCGTTACTGTGCCATTACGGCATTACTGTGCCGTTACTGTGCCATATTACGGCATTACTGTGCCATTACGACATTAATGTGCCATATTACGGCATCACTGTGCCATTACGGCATTACTGTGCCATATTACGGCATTACTGTGCCGTTACTGTGCCATATTACGGCATTACTGTGCCATTACGGCATTACTGTGGCGTGCTCAGTCTGTCATCTATCTCCACTGAGCCTCGTCTCCAGGTATAGTATTAAGTAGGCCAATGAATATGATTTGATTATTAAGGGTAACTATTATTATCATTTCTTTTTGAGAACTGCAGTTTAAGTGATGACTGATGACAATTGTATAATGATAAAGGGAAATAAACATCGTCATATTCTGGAACTAATTTAATTTAAACTTTTACAAATAAAAGCAGCATTCATAAACATAAAACGGCAGTTAGTTTAACTAAAATATTAACAACAGCTAATACAAAAATAAATCTGATAAAACATGCAAAATACTACTACTACTACTACTAGATATAGCTAAGATCGTACATCTTGTCATATGATATTAAATATTGAAGAAATAAAAGAAGTAATCGAACGGTCTATCCTCGTAAAGTCAAAAATCAAAATCATACCATTCTATTTACTGGTCACTCAAGTCACTCAACCAAAAACTGTGGTAAAGTATTAAAAAAAAAAGACTCGACAAGTCTTTTTTTAGTGACGTCACTACACGTGGTGTGACGTCACTACACGTGGTGTGAGGGAACTGTGTCAGTTTACTGATTCAGCGTATGTCCAGGGGGATCCCGATAACTCACTCTGAAAGATTTATATCTTAGTAGTTTATACTAAATATAAATTGACTATTTCGTAATTCGTGAGGCTTGTTCTTACTTAAATCATCATGTGTGTTCAAGATTCAAGTGTATTGCTCCCCTTCTATATACTAATAGCAACTACTTATTTCTAGGACAACTCAGGCTACCTGCAGCTACTTACGATGGAGAAATCGTCCCCGTTTCCGGAGGGCGACGAGAGAACTGCATATCTCTGTGTTTGTAATTTCCTCGGTTTGTCTTGCAACCTTGGCGGTCTTTCTAGTGGCATTTGGAGCAGTAACCTGAAAGGAAGAATTTAACCAGGAGTACCATCGAGCTTGGGAATGGTAAAATATGTTAAAATATGTTAAAATATGTTAAAATATGTTAAAATATGTTAAAATATGTTAAAATATGTTAAAATATGTTAAAATATGTTAAAATATGTTAAAATGTGTTAAGTACACTTGTAAATCCACTATTATGTGTGACAAATCGAGTGAACGTACACTTGTTGACTTGGTTGCTGTATAAAAGGTATATCCTCTGCGCTCTCCTCAAAGAAGATAGTGTTACACGGGCTGTCTCCCCGAATGTGCCGTGCGTTTGTAGAGGGTGTGGTATTTGCTGACTTAAACACTTCCTCCCGCAATATCAAATCTTCACTCTGGCGGTATATTATCTAATATTTGGTTAGGGATTTTAATACACCTTATAGACGTCTGTTTTCATTTCTAACAGCGTTTCGGGAAGCATGAACAGTGCTCCTTTTTTGAGGACCCTAATTTGCTGGATACTGGAAAGCTCTGCTTTGAGGAACATTACCTCTTTTTAAGCTGATTTCAGTAACTACGTACATAATCTAACCCTTATTTTACTTCGGACATTCCAACAGCCACATTGTTACACGAGTGTAACCAGCCAATAACAGGAAGCCGATGGATTCAATTATACATTTCTTCGCCCGAGACTTTACTGCAATGGGCAGCTCCTCATTTAACCCTCACACCCGATTTCTCTAAAATTCGGCTGAGTGGACCACTCAGAATCCTTAGCTCAACGACGCTCACCCCATGGCTGGTAGCTCAGCTGGGAATCGAACCTGGTACCTCGCGAATAACAAGCAGGCGGACTTAGCAAGATTAAAACTATTTGCATATTTTAGAAAAAGTGATTAGATTCTAGGAACAGTTATTTCCGAACTGGGTTCTGTCTTCATCCAGTTGAAACTAGAAAGAAGCCAGCGGGATGCACCACAAATGGACAAATTAATACCCTCATTTTGCGGACGTACTTGTTTGATTAGTAAAGTGGGGGGTTATAGACTAGAGTTGCTGAGCAGGGAAATAGTGGTTTACTTAGAATGGTAGTGGGAAGTAGAGGCTAGAACTACTGAACAGTGAGCAGTGGAAATGAGGATACCTGTTTAGTAAGAACGGCCGGGGGAGGTGCTGAACTTTGTAGTCTTTTTACAGCACTACACGTGGTGTGACGTCACTACACGTGGTGTGACGTCACTACACGTGGTGTGACGTCACTACACGTGGTGTGAGGATACCTGTTTAGTAAGAACGGCTGGGGGAGGTGCTGAACTTTGTAGTCTTTTTACAGCTTTACTCTCGTTCACTGTTTGTGTAATTGTTTCGTCTTCCCCACAGTACAAGCTTTCAATTTCCTGCAAAAACGTACAACTATTATAATTCTAAGCATAAACAAGCGATACAGCTTCTTTTCTCTAATTGAAAGCGATCACTATGTTACCGTGCATAAAACCTGTTCAGATACAAATTTATACTGGGGAAAAAACTTCACAACTGAATATGAACAATGAAAAATGAAACCTTATGTACTAAATGTCAGTGGCGTAACGAAGGGCCCCGCTGACCCCGCGGGCGCCAAATTATATTAATTTGTCGCTGTTGAGCTCTTTAAGTTTAAATTTATAAATTAAACAAAAATTACATACCAGTAGTCCGTTAGACCAGGAGGGTACTTCACTCAAGTCACAACTAGCTGTAACCAAAACCGAGTTTGTCTCAGATACAACTTCATTGAATTTCTCACATTTATCAAACTTGGCTTTTCTTCCTTCATTTTCCTTATCTGAAGCCCTATTTGTAGCTTTATTTTCTTTATCTGAGCCCCTATTTTTGTCTTCCTTTTTCTTGTCTGAGCCCCCTTTTTTAGCTTCACTTTCCTTATCAGAGCCCCCTTTTGAAGCTTCATTTTCCTTGTCGGGGCCCCCTTTTGAAGCATCACTTTCCTTATCAGAGCCCCCTTTTGAAGCTACACTTTCCTTATCAGAGCCCCCGTTTGAAGTTGCACTTTCCTTATCAGAGCCCCCTTTTTTAGCTACACTTTCCTTATCAGAGCCCCCTTTTGAAGCTACACTTTCCTTATCAGAGCCCCCTTTTGAAGCTACACTTTCCTTATCAGAGCCCCCTTTTGAAGCTACACTTTCCTTATCAGAGCCCCCTTTTGAAGCTTCACTTTCCTTATCAGAGCCCCCGTTTGAAGTTGCACTTTCCTTATCAGAGCCCCCTTTTTTAGCTACACTCTCCTTATCAGAGCCCCCTTTTTTAGCTACACTTTCCTTATCAGAGCCCCCTTTTGAAGCTACACTTTCCTTATCAGAGCCCCCTTTTGAAGCTACACTTTCCTTGTCAGAGCCCCCTTTTGAAGCCACACTTTCTTTGTCGGAGCCCTCTTTTGTACCTTTATTTTCTTCATTTTCTCTATCCATTTTCTTACTGCTGGATGTTTCTTTTCCAGCTGGACTATCCTTCGCTCGACCTGAAATATAAAATAAATATATTTTTATAAACCTTTATAAACACGATCCAGAGAATAGCAATATTTAAATCATTATCACCAGACGTAGACTGTTTATATCGTTTCTGAATATTACTGTTCTATAGATAGATCGATCGATCGAGCTAGTTGAAACAATACACTCACTGCTTCTTTATTTGTTTTGCAATAATTAAATGTTGCCGCGCGCCACATTTATACGAAAATAACTGCGGACAGTTATTGGACAAACTTAGGGTGAAGTTAACCAATTTAACAATTTAATGGAACATTGAATGTTGCCCCCAGCCCCACGTTTGATTCAATTCAGAAACAAGATAGAGAGCTGCACTCTGCAGTTTGATTCCTGTTTGGCCATTAAGTTTAAACCATAAAAATCAGCCCATTAGATAGACGTTTCACTTGGTTATAAAATGTGTGGTAAAATGTGTAAAATGTGTGGTAACACCGTAACACGTTTTAAACTAAGTACAACACTGCAGATCTATTAAATTTATTGTGCAAACTATTAGGTTCGACAATATCGCATAGCTAGCGCTAACTACCGCGTTTAGACTATCTCCTCCTCAAGGAGTGCAGCAGTCATATTTTCCTAAAGTTGTTTATTTACAGGAAAAATCAGCCAAAAATATGTACCATGGCCACTGAATAAAGACCCGAAGAGCCGCGGATAGCTGGGAAAAATGGATATTTTAAAATAATGGTAGACAGCATGAGTGGTCATTGGGTCCAGTGACCAGTGACCAGTGACCAGTGACCAGTGACCAGTGACCAGTGACCAGTGACCAGTGACCAGTGACCAGTGACCAGTGACCAGTGACCAGTGACCAGTGACCAGTGACCAGTGACCAGTGACCAGTGACCAGTGACCAGTGACCTCTCCTGTCAAGAGTCCTACATACTGCTGCTTCATGGAGAATGGGCTAAATTTTATCATTAGAGTAACATTTTTATCATTGGAGTCATTTTCAGACAGAAACATTTTAAACGAAAACTTGGTCATAGCGAATTCTGTTTTGAACGTTCAGGACTTCGATAATTCTGGAAGTGAATCTACTCAAAACAAAACAAAATGTGATCAGCAAAATTGAAAATTTTCACGTTACTTGCCTTTTTCCGGTTAAATAGGGTTGAATCATTACTTTAAAAAAATGTAATAGCAAATAGTGCATCCATTTGCATTTTGCAATTCCAAGAATTTTCACGATAGGCTGACGATAAATCATAGTTTCAGACCCTAGCCAGACGTTGGAAATTACTGCTTTTGGTGATACTTCAGAAGGGAACGATGACGACAAACCGGTGTCATCAGATGACAAAGAACGTTCGGAGGGTAAATATTTATTTTCAGTTATTTTACGAGCACGAAAGCAAGAATACTCCATAGTCTGTACTCTGTACGGTGACTTAGAATTCACAATACGAAATGTCCAAGACTACCTTTAATTATAACCTTTGCAGGAATGACAATATGCCATCGGAGGACAATAGTGATCTTTGCTTGCCTTGGAATGTACGTCGTATTTATGACCCGGCTGTATCCCTCCGGATTTTATTTAGACTTCCTCAAAAAATCTGGCTTCAGTACCATAATAGGTGAGTGAGATTCTGATAACATATTCAATTACAAACTTTCGAGCTTTTCCAGACATTAAAATGTTCGCATTATCTTTAGCTGCAGTTCCATGGAAGATGCATCGAGATAGAAGTAAAATAATGTCCAAGTATCACTGTTTTTTTTTCAGGCACTGTTTCCATTTCTGCAGCTCTAATAACGTCGCCTGCTGGCCCATACATTTACAACTTTCTACCAAAAACCATCAGAAACGCGTCCCTTTTCAAAAGATATTTGTGTGCGAGCCTTTTGAACCTGATCTGCTCCTCCATGATGGCTTTGATCAAAGTTTTCATTGATATGAACTCTGGTGCTTCAGGTATTTTCGGAACTATAGCATTACTGAGGGGTATTCAGGGGTTTTCAATGGGCATCATGCTTGTGTTAGTTCAGGTGAGGAATTATTTTATCTCCGGTCATCTATCTTTTTTACCATTTAAATTGTAAACTGTGCCAAGTGCAGAGCATATGATTTACAGCATTCAAAAATTGCCAACTTTAATGTATTTATTTTCTATATTGCAGATGTAGTTATCATTAATGTATTTCAGGGAGAGGTTATAGATTTATATCTTAAGGAAGATAAGAAGGCGATGATCTTAATTAGCAGCTTCATACAAGTTGGGGCAATCGTCTCAGCAATATTAGGCACTGAGCTATTTGTAGCTGGTGGGTGGGTATTAGTTGGTTTTGGTATAGCCTCCTTCAACATCCTCCCTCTTTTAGTGCTGCCATTCCTAACAAACATAGAGGCGAAGAATAGTTGTGGACAAAAAGTTAATTCCACCGACAAGGAGCCCCAAGAATCGACAGATGGAAGTAAGAGCATCTGTCCTCAACCAATTTCGCTATGGTCACAAAAAATCGCATTCTACTTTCCCGATGTAGTCTTGCTCCTGAATAATGCGGTATGTGATCTCATAACATATGTGCTTCCAGCGAGGATCTTGTATTCCACCACAATTTCTCTTAATTCAGCCGTAAAACTTCTGCACATCTTCAGCATTGTCTCATTAATTTCTGCTTTGACATTGAGCTTTATAGCAGGTAGAATTAAAAAGTTTAATTTCATAACCACTATGGCGATAGGAAACTTCTTCTATCACATTGGTGCAGTAATGGCATTCGGAGCGACAACAAGTGATTTCAAATTCTTTGACTTCACCTACCAAGTGGTGATAGGATTAGTTCTAATTGGACTAGGGGAGGCTTGCCATGTTAATCTCTATACCCCTACCAAGTTTTACCTTTACGAAAAGTGGAATTTGGACAACAGCGGCCTCGGAGAAAAGGCTGCCAAGATCTACAACGTTGTTCTTAGTGTTTCTTCAATTTTGGGAACTGTCGTATCAGCCCTGTCTTTGACAGAAGAGGGTGAAATTCCAACTATAGCTGTGATTTCCGGACTCGGTGTGTTTTTAACGTTGGGACTATTTCTTTGTAACCTGGTTAAATAGGTTTGGAGAACTTGTCGGCCGAACGTTTCATAGACAACTTTTTTGAAGAATTTCTATCTATTAAATCCGATAATCAATATTAAAAGATATAATACAGTATGTAACACATTATATTTCAATTATGGATTTTAATTTGGGTAAATTATCATCTAGCATAATTATAAGATATGATTTTAGTGATTCCAAATCTATTCATTTTCATTGTAACCCCACTCTAAAATAAATGCAGGACAATGAAAATGAAGTCAAAAGTTACAACAATATTAATGTCATTGTAATATGTGTGTAGTTTTATTACGCGATGATTGTTAGAATCTTAATTCTATTTAAGTTCGTTACCTTGTAGTTTGTGAATGTACTCAACCTATCTAACCCTGTATTTCCCTTTAGCAAAGGTTTAGTTCCAGTGATGTATATACAGTGTTGGGGAGAAGGAAGATCGGTTCGACTCCAGACTCTAGCGGTTTAGCAGAAGAGAGAGGAGTGTCCAGTATTTAAGTGACTCCAGACTCTAGCGGTTTAGCAGAAGAGAGAGGAGTGTCCAGTATTTAAGTGACTCCAGACTCTAGCGGTTTAGCAGAAGAGAGAGGAGTGTCCAGTATTTAAGTGACTCCAGACTCTAGCGGTTTAGCAGAAGAGAGAGGAGTGTCCAGTATTTAAGTGACTCCAGACTCTAGCGGTTTAGCAGAAGAGAGAGGAGTGTCCAGTATTTAAGTGACTCCAGACTCTAGCGGTTTAGCAGAAGAGAGAGGAGTGTCCAGTATTTAAGTGACTCCAGACTCTAGCGGTTTAGCAGAAGAGAGAGGAGTGTCCAGTATTTAAGTGACTCCAGACTCTAGCGGTTTAGCAGAAGAGAGAGGAGTGTCCAGTATTTAAGTGACTCCAGACTCTAGCGGTTTATCAGAAGAGAGAGGAGTGTCCAGTATTTAAGTGACTCCAGACTCTAGCGGTTTAGCAGAAGAGAGAGGAGTGTCCAGTATTTAAGTGACTCCAGACTCTAGCGGTTTAGCAGAAGAGAGAGGAGTGTCCAGTATTTAAGTGTTCCACAGATTCCGGTCGACAGATACGATCTGTGTTCTGTGACGCGGAAAGAGTGGTAAGTAGTTTATAGTTTAAATAGTATAGTTTGTTTGTCTAGGAGTTCCTGCTTCCTCTTTCCCTTTTCTAGTTTCACTTGGTTTTACTTTTCCTTTTACTATTCTCTCACGGTAGTTTCCCCCAGGATTATTTTATCAGTTCCAGTTTTAGTTCCATTTCATCAACAAGTATTCACCTAATATAGAGAAGCCTACACGAAACAGGAGTTTAACGAAACAGGAGTTTCTGTAAGATATCTTGTAGTTTATACTAAGAAGATAATTTAATAGTTTAATCTAAAGAAGACTTTATTTACATTTAATTTATTATAGTGTTGAGATGTTTATATAGTAGCTAGGTTGTAATTAAGTAGAGTGAGTTGAGTCATTCAGATCATTCACTTATCCATTCCTAGATTTAATTGGAGTTATTGTTTGAGTATCAAGAGATTGCAAAGTAACACAAGTTTTGCACGTTTTCATTGTATTACTCTAATTTTATTATTATATTTGTTTTGTTATAATTGTGTATTCTTTGTAATCCAGTAACCCACAGAAGGGTTCTAAAGTTCTAACAATGATTACTGAGCTCTCTTATCTCATCTCTTATCACTACAATTCAACAACGACTTAGCTGCTACTTTGGGTCTGGTGCTATAGCTTGCATTGGTAGTTGGTACGCTCAAGATCAATCGTTATAATCCGTTATAATCAAAATGACCATTGAGCAGTATAATATAATACCAAATAATATGTAATTCTATTTGTAAATAAAGTTTCATTTTTTAAGCTTCATTTTTAAAGTTTCATTTCAACCGGCAGGGGACTTCGAACGATATAATGATATGTATCATTACATCGTTCGAAGTCCCCTGCCAGTTGGTAAAAATGAAACTTTAAGTTGGCTGTGGAACTACTTACTACAGTCAAACATGAATCGCTTAAAGGCTTAACAGGTAAACCCAGGCCAATAAATAACACATAAAATTTACTTTTCGGAACAAATTAACTACGTAATGTTTATCAGCCGAAACGGATGATATCAATATAAAATAGCAGTTTCCTTAAAATTGGAAAGAGAAATTGAGTGGTCAACGCACTAACGCAGGCAAGAAACGGGAGAAGTGAAGAGCTCGAAGCAAAACAGTTACCTGAACCAAGGATCATCTACTCATCTACTGAAAACACTGTGATTATTGTAACACAAACAGCACTGCGATTATTGTAACACAAACAGCACTGCTATTATTGTAACACAAACAGCACTGCGATTATTGTAACACAAACAGCACTGCAATTATTGTAACACAAACAGCACTGCGATTATTGTAACACAAACAGCCACTGCGATTATTGTAACACAAACAGCACTGCGATTATTGTAACACAAACAGCACTGCGATTATTGTAACACAAACAGCACTGCGATTATTGTAACACAAACAGCACTGCGATTATTGTAACACAAACAGCACTGCGATTATTGTAACACAAACAGCACTGAGATTATTGTAACACAAACAGCACTGCGATTATTGTAACACAAACAGCACTGCGATTGTTGTAACACAAACAGCACTGCGATTGTTGTAACACAAACAGCACTGCGATTATTGTAACACAAACAGCACTGCGATTATTGTAACACAAACAGCACTGCGATTATTGTAACACAAACAGCACTGCGATTATTGTAACACAAACAGCACTGAGATTATTGTAACACAAACAGCACTGCGATTATTGTAACACAAACAGCACTGCGATTGTTGTAACACAAACAGCACTGCGATTGTTGTAACACAAACAGCACTGCGATTATTGTAACACAAACAGCACTGCGATTATTGTAACACAAACAGCCACTGCGATTATTGTAACACAAACAGCACTGCGATTATTGTAACACAAACAGCACTGCGATTATTGTAACACAAACAGCACTGCGATTATTGTAACACAAACAGCACTGCGATTATTGTAACACAAACAGCCACTGCGATTATTGTAACACAAACAGCACTGCGATTATTGTAACACAAACAGCACTGCGATTATTGTAACACAAACAGCACTGCGATTATTGTAACACAAACAGCCACTGCGATTATTGTAACACAAACAGCACTGCGATTATTGTAACACAAACAGCACTGCGATTATCGTAACACAAACAGCACTGCTATTATTGTAACACAAACAGCACTGCGATTATTGTAACACAAACAGCCACTGCGATTATTGTAACACAAACAGCACTGCGATTATTGTAACACAAACAGCACTGCGATTATTGTAACACAAACAGCACTAATTCATAAAAGGATCGTTATCATGGCCAATGTGCAATTTTAATGAAAATCAAATTCTTTTTCCATTGTTATTTCCATGACATATTATTTGATTGTTGTTTCAATTCTGCAGTTAAGTTGAATATTCTCATGGATATCGAATGAATTACGAGATAAAGACCATGGAGTAAGGTAGCGATAAGAATATTTTCAATGACTAATGCGCGGTTGAAAAAGTCAGTGCACATATGTTGGGTCTTATATCACCGCCGTGTTTTAATTATTTGAGACTTAATTTTGCAGATGGTATACTGTAACTAATCATTCGAGGATTCCGAAACCAAAATTTGAGAATTAAATTTTCAGGGTCCATATCCAATCAATATTAATTTGCGTATACTCGTGTTTGTGAACATGTTAAACATGTTTAAAGACTCCGTTGTAACATATTGCTATATGTCATGAAATCAGGAATATGATATAAAAAGATGGCGTAAAACTGATGTAAAATGACGAAGTTATCAAGCAATTTGTTTATCTCGTTATATTAGGCTCTGTGATAGCTTGTTCTAATATCGTAATTAGGCTCTCTGCACGATTCCCATAATGTGGATCTAGTATCAGCCCAATCACACGTAATGAATAAACTCGCTATGCTTCATATCTCGGTCAACTGAGAAGCTAGAACTCTCATTTTTTCAGAGCAAATGTAATTGGAATGGCCAATCACGATCCAATACAATTTATCCATCAAACAAATGCGAAAATAAACCTTCATTCGAAAAAAATTAACATGAATATTCTTTGATTCGATATATTCCTCAAATGAGTGGTAATAGCAAGTCATTCTAGAAAAAAATTAACTCAATCAGCCACTCACTGACTTAGCTATTAACGCCAACGTATGTGCCCCAACTTTTGGCCCCCTGTATTTCTCTCACGGTTTTTGAGGAAAGTCATGTTAAAGTTGATGCCGTGGTGTGAGTAAAATGACAACAGATAAGATTGAGAACATTACAGAAGGAATCGATTTAATGTAGTAGGATTCCTAATCCTTCTCACATTTGAAGATGGCGTTTCTCTTGTCTCATATATATATATATATCATAACGTGTAGCTTATGAAAACTTACCAAAGGTAAAAATGCTTTGCACTTTTTGAACATATTCTGTGGACACAACAATGTCGCTACAGTTTTCATCCAATTTCTCTTCGTTGCAAGTATTGGGTAGAGTCACATTTAGACTAGATATTCTCTGTTCTTCTTTATCTGGGAATTTTTCTGTTAATTTACTATTTATTAAATATCAATATTATTTATTACAATTATGTGTTCAAAATACTTTGAATAATCATTTAGTGTAAACTGAGTTGGGAATAGAAAATGAAACGTTGTTATACGGGCTGTTATTTTCATAATTGGGCCTGTGGACCAAAAGAGATCAAACAGAAAAATCCTGAGGCTAAACTGAACGAGATCCATGACCGAATTTCTAGTATATCAGTCAAATACAGAAGCAGACTGGGAAAATAAGCCGGAAAATAAGCCGGAAAATAAGCCGGAAAATAAGCCGGAAAATAAACTTTTATTTAATAATTCAATGTCTTTTAATTTATCAATTTTTATTATGAAGAATGTTTCTAAATTAACTGTGTAATTTGTGGTTTTTATTTGTTGTTCATCTGTAGATTTTGTTACATTTGAACTAATTACACTATTACAGTAAAACACTGATTTACGGGGGAATAGGTCACAACCACGGTAAAACGTGGTTGGATGATCCAAAACATTTGGATTTTGGGATTAGGGAAATGGTCTCCGTAAATCAGGTTTCGACAACTTCAAATTTCGGTACACATGAGATTTAAAACTTGCAGTGAAAAAATAATCAATCTTTACCGGAAAGTAACGTAGGTTTTGGGTCAACAGACTTTGGAAGAATTCTCTCTAAGCTCTTTCGTATGTTAAGTGCCTGCCCATCACATGATATATTTTTTGTACTTTGTCGATGTCTTCTTGGTCCATCTGAGGAGATCTCTTTTTTCTTTTTTCCTTGTAAAAGTGAGTTTCCTTTATCCTGAAAAAGGGAGGCAATGTGATAAACAAGCTTATGCTAAAGTCCAATCTAAAAATAAACGTATACACACAGTGTTACTAATTACTATGTTACATCTTTTGCGCAACGAAGCCAGGCTGACCTAGCATTTGTTACACAACTGGGTGCACTGCTAAAAACATGATGAAACATAATACGATCGATTGTTTTCTTTGTGATAACCGTTATTTTAAAACCACACAAAAATTCAAACCTGCAAAGTATGAATCAAGAAGTGAATGGGGTTTTCAGGCTTGTTACTAATCACAAGCCTCATTAGCTCCTCAAACAGTGTCTCGATATTCTTATCATTGATGTATTCTCTTGTTACAGACATGAGTTGTTGCTGCAAGAAATTGGTTGATAATAATTTATAATAATATAATTATAATAATAATACCGAGGTAGACTTAATGTTCAATCTAATGTAATGCATGTATTAGGATACAATGATACATGATGATGATGATGATGATGAAAATCTTAAAATAACTGGCTACAATGAGCATTTTATTAACAATAAATAGTAAAGATCAAAAACTTTAAATTCCAACAGACTAATTTTAAATACCCACATAACAAATTATACCCGCTAAAATGTTATAAAACCTCAATAATTCAGTATAAAATTAAAGATATTAACAATTACTACACTTCAAAATACTAGAATAAATGTTCATAGAACAAAATATTTGACTTTACCAGTCACTCGACGTTTCAAAATGAAACTGAGGTTGAAGATGCAGTTACCAAAGAGCACTGGTTCTCAATGGTTACTGAAACAAACTGTTTCCAAAATATCAATATAAAGCAGCCCATTATATCTGCTTTTCTGTGAACTAAGCAGCTCAAATAGAAAAGCTATTGCCATAATATTATGACAATATCACAGGGTGATGATGCGTTTAGCTTGACATTTTAAATCCATGTCAACAAGTTCACAGCTTGAAAGTAGGTGCAGTGCTGTTTGCTCATCTGAGCCACAAATGCATAGCGGAGAGGCCCCTGCTCTGTCAACTCTGAAGAGAAACGAGTTCAGTAGATTGTTCTTGTACAAGAGACTCATAACCAATACTTCCACCTCGCGGCTTACTCCCAAGGGGATAGGAAGGGGGCTGCAGGAGACTCTTGGAATTTCAGACCATCCTTCCGTCATCAGTAGGTTTTGTATACTTTCTTGCCAAAGAAGTTCTGTGAATTGCTGTATCATTCCTTTGGTGTACTTATAAGTCTTTTGGGGCAGTAACAAAATGTGTTCTAGGTTTCTCTGGGCAATGTCACTTAAATCACAGCCCTGAACTTCAGTGCTGATTAAGTTTAACCAACTTTATTCGGATATATATTTATTGATTGATTGTGTATTGAATTGGTGATAAATAATAAAATTGTCTTTTCTCAAATTGTCTTTTCTCTGAAATGTTCTGCTTTCCATAGTAAGAATTTCTGCACGTCTCGGAGATGGCAGAGTATTGTTGGATTCTTTTCATCGAGTTGAGATCTCACGAAATCAAAATGAATGTCATCTGAGTCATGGAGAACCTTAAGGTAGTGTTGATAATGATACATTGATACAAGGATGCAAGGATATCGTCCTTGCATCCTTACGACTAAAAAATAATCGTAATGAGTTGGAATAATTTAGAAATGTTATGCTAGTATATAAATAAGTGGAATTTGTAAGGTTCAATTTGATTTCGTTGTCCTATAGCATTATGCAGTGGCAAGCTAAGTATTTGAGTGGAAATCTGGGCTCTTACAGTATATAGCCTGCAAAATCATCAGAATATAAAAAGAGATTTTGGACGATTTTTGAAGGGGAGCTTTTTTTTTGTCTCCTTGACCGAAATTTGGCGGTTTTGATTATTGAAGTTCGACTGAATTTTCGCTTAGGTCTACTACCATGGTGAAAGCCACAATATATAGTCGCGAACTCATGCGCGGCGGGCCCAACGTGTGGCAAAATTTCACAGTTCGGTATTGTTAAGGATTTCCCAACAATGAGAGGCTGTGTGCGCGGTGGGCTGTGTAGTGTGTTAGTGTGACAGTGTGTATATGGTTGAACTTCAAATTTGAATTTATCTATGAATAACTGCATGAAATGTACTGAGCAATTAATAAATATGACATGTAATTGTAAAACAACAATTGAATAGACCCTGCGCTGTGCGCGCGGCGCTTACAACGGCACCTAAGGATTTCTCAACAATGTGTGGCTGTGTGCGCGGCGGGCTGTGTATATTAATATAACATAATATGTATTGATTGTTTTGTGGTGAATAAAAATTTTGTTTTTCTTAACAATTAATCGCTCCAAATATCGCGGCACTTCAAAAATTGTACTTAAATGTTAAAATTCATTTTTTATTGGCAGCATTTATATTTCAAATTAATTTATTTACATTATGATAGTACTTTTTATTAAATTTAAAATTAAATTTACCCATTGCATGATAACAATTATAAAAATACTAAAATGAAGTGAACAAGAAAACAACAATTTCAAGAAAACAACAATTTTATTTAGTATCAATTAAAGCAAACATAAATATATTTTATATATAACTAGCAGGACCTTTTTACCAGATATCTTAGGGGACTTGGAGTAGCAAGAGAATGGATAGAAGGTATATACCTATTACAAAAATACGTCAAAAAGAATCCAGGGTGATACAGGATCAGAGAGTGCAGACCGTGAAGTTTACGCACCCACCCTTGCCTCCTAAATTCTTGGTTGGGTAGGCATTTATGCGAACTTGGTCGTTTATACTCCAAGTCCCTTTGTTAAAAATTAATAAAATTTATCCCAGGAGTTAACTTCATTCAACAATAATAATATCAATATCAATTTATCGCATAAATTTAATTATCGAATACAGGTTTGATTATCGAATATAGTCTCATCTCATTAAACTATATAAAAAATAAGTATAAAGAATAAGGAAAAGGAACGGGAATGAAGCCAATACCAGAAGTGAAACCCCACCAAAGAATAATTGATCCTTAGGTAGACCTGGTGAAATAAAGTAACTGAACTGTAAGTTTAAGAAAAGACGGAAGGAATAAAGGAGAGAGGAAATAATGTTATGTGAACATCATCAGCAGATGACTTGGCACACCGGTTTCGGGGGTTTAATACCTGTACCGGTTTAATGTGCCAAGACCCCCCAGCAATCACTCGTCAGTGATCACCTGTTCACGTTAAATGTGATGTCAAGGATGTCGCTGACATCAAGTATACTGTATTTGTACAGAATACTAGGTCGGTCTTTCAGAAGCTTTCTGAATTTACTCTTCAGGAGTCTGTCATTATAACATCTTGAAAGAAGTGTCCTATAAAGGGTGTTGGTAGAACACAGAAAAGAATCAAGGTCAGAGATAATGGAAGAGTAACGAAGGACCTGACCGTAAAAAACATTATAACCAACAGAAGAGGAAATATTACTGTTAGGAAAGGTGTACATGACCACAGGAAAGTTGAAGTCATCAAGTTTGTTGTAAAGCTTGGTGGCGACGTGTCCGGAGTTATTCATCGAGATGTTGATGTCGAGATAGTTTACGGACTTATTGTCGTCACCACTCCTCTCCATAAGCAGGTCAGGTGGATAAATGGACCTGATTAGGTTAGAGAAATGCAAATAGTTCATGGTGTTGAGGTCGTCGACATATCTGCAGTTTCTTGAGAGGAGCTTAGCGAGACCGAACTTCTTTTCTTTGATTAGGCGTGTCATGTAGTTGAATTCACACTTCCCTAGCGAAAGATCAGCGAACTGGCTACTAGAATTCCCTCCCATGGGAATGCCTTTCGTTTGTCTTAAAATCTGATCCCCAAAACAAACAAAAGTGTTAAACAGAATAAATGTAATAGCTGTTTTGAGTTTATCAGCAGAAAAACATAAGTATCCGTTATATTCCTTTTTCGAGAAAAAATTGTTGTTCTTATACAGAGAAACACAAATAAATTTATTCGTATTACTAAAGAGGAGATCTATTAGCTCGAAAAGCAGTGACTGTACAACCTGAAGGTCTAGATTGGTATACAGAGTGGTAAAGTCGTATACCTGCATATTAAAAATCTCTAGTCTAGGCAGCCTTTCCAGGAACTGTTTAGAGCTGTTAATGCTCCAGTCGCAGTTAATTCCAGTATTGTTGTAGATAGAGTTGCAGTATTTGGAAAAGTATTCTTTTAAAACTTTTAAAGCTTTGTTGACTACAACTGATATCTGCTTAGTGGTACATTTACTGGCCCCAGCTATAAATCTAGACTTATAAGGATTCTTGTGAAGTTTAGGAATCCAAAAGATTCTCGGTAGACAAAGGTTGTCCTCAGAGACACGAATATTAAAGTTATCTTTAATGAAGTTCACATGTTCCTGAATAATATCATCCTCTACAGAGTTAACCGGATGATAAGTAGAATTGCCACGACACTCTAGAGAAGTGAGATCGTAGCCAAGTTCGTTGAGAAGGGTTAGAAGATAAAACTTCTTGCAGACAAAAACATAATTATTTGAAGCTTTATCTACGGAGCAAATAATAAAAGAAGAAGAAAGACTGTCGAGATAAGATTTAACATCATCCCTTTGTAGAATGGAATTGTAGGGAGTGAAGTTATTAGGGGAGGAGGAGAGGAAGTTAAGGCGATTGGTGAAGATCCGGGAGACCTCATCTTTCCAATCCTGGAATTCCAAACATGAAAGTCCATGTTTCCTAGCCATACGGGTGGCGAAGTTGGCTGAACACTCGTTGAGGCTCTCCAAGATTTGCTCAGGAGGAACAGACACAGGTTCCCTAAATTTCGATTATCAAATATAGGTTCGATCTGATATAAATTTGTAAACTAAAATATTTAATTATTAAAAACATTACATCAAGTGGTTAAAATGGATCTGAAAGCTTATCAGCTTATAGTTCAATCATGATAGCAATATTAGGTGTGTGCCGCTGCATGTGCAATTTAATTACTGCAATTTAAAATTGGTTGGAGTCCAGGTATCTTTTAAGTCAGCTGCCTGTGATTGTACTCAATGAAACAAGAAATTTTTCAATGAAACAAGAAATTTAATTTTTAGCACATTTTACAGAGTAAAGAGATGTAAAACAATTTATAAAAATATAATGCTCATTTGATGTATGACTTTTTGTCCTTGACTGTTAGTTTGATTTTGAAGGGACAGGCAACTAACGGGGCAGGGAATGTGCGTGCCTGAAAGCTTTTGCACACACCAAAACGCTAGTTCAGTTGAGTTTTTAGAGACAGGGCTCATATGAGGATCAGAAGAAAATTGTTAGCAGACGTTAGGGGTTCTGTTTGTGTTTGTTACTATGGGTTACAGTCTTGTTGTGACAGAAAGTCTACACTATATATATGCCTAAGTTTAAATTGTGTAGTTTGAGGATATAAGATGCAACTTTAAGATGGATATTGGAGAGCTGTTGAAAAATTATGGTCGTTGTATCAATGGTTATAATAAGCTAATATAAATATCTTAAACTATACAGTGCTAATTAAAAATTTCTTTATACTGCATTATCAAATTAAATGTTAAAAATTCAAAAATATACATTCATTTTATTTTATTAAAGACTTTCTCACACATACTTTTCTCACAGAACAAGACTTGGAAAACACTAGACTAGGGGAATTTCGCTGACATGTGTGTGACCAGCAAGTAGTGATCTTTCGAAGACAATATTGTTGCAGTCAAAATCTTTGATTGTCCAATCAAGCGGGGCGTGGCTGTGTTGATTATTTAATAGTGCACGTTTAAGCTTTCCCCGCAAACACATCACACTCATGGTAAAGTCATCCATTCTAATTTTTGGAGTAATCATGTTAAAAATTTTGGTTGATCTTGTATTATGGTTATCAGGTGGGTCAGCCTGACAAATAAGTAGGGTCGGCTTCCTTGTCGAGCATGTGTAGCCTTCATGTAAGGATATTGGAGCACGAAATTTCATTATCTTGTAGAGCTCGAGGTAACAGTGGTATGTATAGAGATTTTGGATAGCTAGGATATTATTATGTTTGAATAGCGGTTTAGTATGTTCTTTTATGAAAAACTTGTTGTTAAGTCTTTGGTGCCCTATTGGTCTGGTACGTGCACAGGTCTTAAACTTATCAAGGTAAGCCTCCCTATCACCGAACATAACCCTAAGACAGTACTTCTGGGCGGTAAACAGAGAGCTTATACGATGCTTCGCTGCCCCACCCCAGACAGATATACAGTAAGAGAGATGGGATTCAAACAAAGTATAGTATAGTTGTTGATGTAGAAATTCTGGAAGGGAGCAGCGAAGTCGACATAAGGTGGAAGTGGAATGATTTAGATTTCGCTTAAGGGCTTTAATGTGTTCTTCCCATGAAAGGTTTTCATCAATTATAACTCCAAGGAATTTAGTGGATGAAACTTTTTTATCGGAAAGTTGTCTATAGTAAGTCCTACTTCATCATCTGATAGAGTCTCTGACTTAGAACCTTTCATGGGAGGCTTGAAGTGTATGTAGCAGCACTTGGACATATTTATATGTAACTTATTTGCTCGCATGTAAGACTGCAATGATGAAAGAAGCTTATTTCCACGTTCATAGGCCTCACGTTTTGTTTTTCCTACAACAAATATATTGGTATCATCAGC